CCAATTTGGCAGACAGCTACCGATGGCATATTCACGGTTAAACATGCTTACTAGCTCATCAAATTGTGTACAAAGTGTGGTAAAATCTTTGGGATTTGGAACAAAATCTGAAAAGCTTAAATTCACGAGCAGCACAAGATGATGTTATGGAGGACAGTAACTAATGTTCTATCTTGTTAAGCTAATCTAGGTAGATTGCTTCACATCCCAGACCCTTCTTTCCCGTTGTGTGGGAACCTAGAAGAAAATTTAATCGGTATCTCTTCAAATCGTTGCCCTTTGGCCCATATTAGGCAGAGACAGAGCCCATGGGTTATTATCTCGTCTGCTTGGAACTTCAACTAACCAAAGGAGATGGTGCACTACTTTCTTGATCCGGGACAGATAGGACAAAGAACGGGCATGGAGTGCAATCTCTTCAACCTTTTTGTAGCCACTCTACGTGCTAGAATGTTGCGTATAAGAATGCAGCATTACATAATCAGTCTATTCCAAATCATTCCCAGGCAATCAAGTTGGTATTATAACATTTCATGGATTTTTCGAACACGCTCATGGAAGGGAACACAGACGTGAAAAGCGAAGAAACATATTCACTTGGGGAAAGGTTAGACCCTCGGCTCCCCTGCTGGATCAATGATTGAAGCTTAATGTAGACGGCACATCAAATGATAATAAAGGGGCCCTAGGTACTATTGCACGATCGGCTAGAGGCTCAGTTATCCAAACATGGACGAGATGCGGAAGATGGAGTTCACCAATGGAAGTGGAAGCTGCAGCTTTTCTCCTCACTTGCAAATTTCCTTAGTCCCTCAGTATCCACTCAGCGGTGTTTGAAAGTGATTGCAAAGTCTTAATTGATGTCATTCAATAAAAGGATCATTGCCCTTGGAGTATTTAGCCTTTTTGTCTCGGACTCTCGCTTTCTACTTCCCAGCAACCTGTGATAGAGTTTGTTGGGGACTCATAGACTCAACAATAGTGCTGCTTATGAGCTTGCAAAATGGGCTTTTCATCATATAAGAGCTGCATCTTCTTTTATTTTTAATAATCTCCCATCTAAGTTTAAAATATAGTGTTGGTGGAGTATTCTTTACTTTATCTCTTTAATGTTGGCATGGGTTTTCTTTGTAATGTTTGACTGTTTTGTTGGAGTGGAAAGTTTGTTCTAGCCAAAAAAAAAAAAATCTAACACCTTTAGAATAATTTATCTCTATGGAATTTCTTATCTCAACAGGCATTGGAAAATTTCAAATACTTTTCTTCCACCTGTAATCCATATTCCAGATTTACTAATTAACCTCTTTCTCACCCATAAAGTCCATAAAACAACTCATTCAACACATTCCCCAGAGAACTTGAGTAATATGCCCCATCGATCGGGTTTGATGAGGTTGAGAGTATTTGGCTGATGAGGGCATATTTGTCTATTTCCTTTATTATTTTATGTATTGTGGCAACAAAGGTGGTATTTTAATTTTGGCATATTGGCTTTATTATAAATAGCTAGCTTAGGATCATATCGACCTATAACCAGGCATTCGGTTCAATTTTTCTCTCAACAGATCAGCACGTGCAGATCAACGTAATTAAATTGCACGAATATTTTTTATGCAATTTCAGAGAGATTCATCGAGAATATCGAGAATTTCATAGGATCCCGTGTGAAGAAAATAATACTACTCCAAAGTTTTTATGGCCCACTACTTATCAAGAGGAAATGCCATGGGATCACTCCCATGCATATCGTACCGCAAAAGATGTTATCCGCCCAACATTAGACGAGTACAAGCGGAATCAACCAGAACCAACGGAATTTTCGCAAGACCCATGGGACTTGGTCCGATTCCTAATCTCGACCCAGTATTCTAAAAATAAAAAAAAAAAATTCCCAGAATTCTATAATGTTCTCTTGAATATTTTTTTTTAAACCTTTCTCCTCTAAGTCCGGGTGATATTTGAAGGATAGACTTACAATTACGATCAAATTGAATTACTCTTTATCTTTCTAAATGCAAAAAAAAAAAATTGCACATTATAAGATATCTATGGAAAAAAAACTAATTACTCGAATTAATCAAGCGAATAATAATAATTAAATTTTTATGGAGGAAAATTATTGGTCGGGGGGTATTATCTGAGTGTTTTCTGCATGTATTATACGCCTCAGATTGATGTTTGGTTGGTAAGGAACATATGCCCACTTTCATTTATTTTTTCACCGCCCCCCCCCCCCCCCCAAATTTTTTTTTTAGCACAGTGGCATGGTTGGTGCAATCGGCTGGTCCTGTTCATTTACCTTTTTTTTTTTCTTCTTCTTTCTTTTGGTACTAGTACTACTTTGATCATCGGTTTTTGTGGGGGGTCGGGTCGGATCAGAAAATTGCAATTTCACTAGCAATCGTCCCTTCGATTCTCGGGAAAAATTCCGATCGGTCGTCCGACTTTTCGCGACGTGAATCCGGGCAAATTTTGATTCGATCAAGGTCCCCCCGTTCATATCTTATAATGTGGCTCATCATGAAAAATTGTAATCTTGAAGGCCTGATGATTAGAAAGAGGGAGAGAGAGAGGAAACAAAGTGCTACTCGACCACAAAACATGTAGTCCACTACCACTACATTGGAAATCCAGAAGTGTTGGGGATGGACCGTACAGAAATTGATCTTCCTTTTTCTTTTCTCTCTATTTTCAATTATTTTCGCGGGAAACAAGGACAGGGAGGGACGAGCGGGTAGCGGGACTCCTCGTTCGAGTCTAGGTCTCTATAGGGTCAGCATTAAGAAGTCTCGCAATCGAGATTCTGCACAATATCGAGCAGTTTATATATATTAATCGGTTGGCAATTCGATGACTTAAGAACCTTTGGACGAAAGTGGGTCCGATTGGATACATCGGCGGGCTCGTAATTAAGTTTGGTAAGGTGTCGATGTTCTGCTACGCACCCGCGCGTGGCTCGACATGATCATATTTTATTTAATTTGAGTAATTAGGGGATGCATCAAAGAGGGAAGTGGAATTGAGGGTGGGCAATGAAAGTCAACCGAGGGGTGGCCCCACCCTTCAATGGAATCTCTCAGCACATCATCCAAATCTATTTTTTTCTATTTTTTATTCCCTTCTGGTGCAAAAAAAGTTGGTTTGGATTTTCTCCCACATCCTGTCTGATTCTGCTCCAATTCTTCCTCCTTGTTCTTGACTTGACTTGCACCACCAATTGCTTTTGTGTGGCCCTACTACTAGCTTGTTACGGGTATTCATACCTGACCCGATTCATTTTGATTCCAAATTTTCTGATTACACATTAGCAGTATGTTCGGCGTACCAAAACTGGTGGCTAAAAGAAATTTCAAACATAAAAGATCATGTCGGGTCAACCCCAATTGGGTTTTCGACGAAAAAAGAAAATCACTAATTGGCTAAGTGGATTAGAAATAAGGGAAATTTCACATCTTGCAGAATGTGAAGTTTCACATTTGGATGTTGCTCAACTTATCGATATATTGGGTTTAACCCGCAAAAATGTGATAACTTACGAATCTTTCTAATATGGTGGATCGATCAATGCCGCCGGTCGCAACACGTAACTCTGAAAGGTGACAAATGGCCAAAACCAGCATAGCTCCTCGGAAAGACGGCACCTCAATAGCTTCACGGGCAACTTTCACATTCATTTTTTGAGAGAAAGGTGGATTTCGATAAATCTCGATCCTCAATGAACACCTCATTCTCGTGATCAAACATTGTGATTCATCGAGACCACGAAAGGAGTAGCGTCCGAGGTACACGAATCAACATCCATAGCCAACTAAGGTAAAGCCCGATTGCTTACACAGCTCACACAAACAGCATTAAGACGCAAATGCTGGTGACAATGAGTCAGTCATTCAATTTGAATGCGATTGAATATTAAAGTATATGCTTTTTCTCTCGTTAATCTATAAAAGCGAAAATAGACGATCGATATCAGTGATAAATACTCTATATATATATGTGTGTGGGCGCGCGCGCGCGCGATAGCCCTAAGCCAATCGGCTTTAAGAGTGGGAAACAACTATAAGCACGATCGAATACTGACCACGGGGACATTCCAAGCCGAATCCAATCGCAATCCATCCAACATCGTGACACAATTATACGAAAGACGGGAAGAAAGTCAAAAAGACATATTCATGATGGGCATCGAAGAAGGAGGAACACGATCGAAGTCCTCCTCCTTCTCACTGCCACACACACCCCCCCAAAAAAAATTATTTTAAAAAAATAAATACAAAATTAAAAATAAAGAGAACCAATGTTTGTTTTTTCTTGCCTTTTTTCCGACGTTTAATATTGATAATGATAAAAAGGCGACGCCTTTTCTTTTTTAAAAACCAAAAGAATTGCATCCCCAATGTCGAGGCCATGTGCTGCGCAGGTTGAAAAACAAAAGCATAAATTTGCCTCCTCAGAAATTTTACCCCCAATGGGAAATGGAATTCGAATAAATGTTTAATAAGAACGCGATAAATTTTAAACGGTCCGCGACAAGTTGTAATTGAATTTTTGGCTCGAGAGAACGATGGGATCGAACATTCGGGGCAACGGTATGAAATCGAGAACGGCGGCGGGAGCCGGATCTGAATTAGCCGTGCGAGGTGAAAAACTGTTCCAAACGTCTTGCTAATCAGAGAGAGCGCGAGAGATAAATTTCATAAATTATTGTATGCATCCCTAAACAATACCACTAGTTACGGAGGTGGCAACACCTGCCGGCCTCCTTGTGGTCCGCCGTCGTATCACGAGTTGGATGAACTTAGGTAAGTTTGAAAAATTCGGGGGTAGTGGCATCTGGCATTTCGAATAATTCCGATGTCACAAAGGAAAAAAACTATACAAAAAAAGGAAAAATCAGGAATTTTATGCCGGCAAAAACAAATATTACACCGAAGATGCAGTCTAAAAAGGGAGTAAAAAGTAATAAAAAAAAAAAAAAGGAAGAAGAAGAAGAAGATGAAGGATTACAAGAACAAGCCATGAGCAATGGCTTGGTTCTTCTTCAAGCAGGTGGTCTCGTACACCGGCAGCTCCTCCCTGTACCTCCCGACGCCGATCAAGTGATCCAGCTCGAAGAGATCCGAGCTCGCGTCGCTCTCCATGTCGTCGTCGTCGTCGTCGTCGTCGTCTTCGTCGCTGTAATCGCTCACCACCACTCTGTTCTTGCTCATGCCCCTCGCGTCCATCTTCTTCTGGAAGTAGCGCTCCCTCTCCGCTTCGACCCTGGCCTCTCTCTCCCTCTGGGAGACGAGGCTGAGGCTCGCGCCGCCGTTCTTGGCCTTCCGGTCGTCCTCGTAGATGCATTTGTGGCCGCAGGGCTGAGAGTCCTCGCCGACGATCACGCTCACGGGGTAGAACCGGACGGACCTCTTCAATTTGCTTCTCGTGCTCGGGGTCTTGCTCATGCAGGACCTCGAGAAGGAAGATGCGGAGGAGCATGCCGACTTGGACTTGCGCTCGAAGCTCACGTCGTCGACCGCGCCGACGTAGCACATCTTCGCCTTCTTGACGTTGCCGGAGTTGAAGATGGAGTTGAGGAAGCTCGTGATCCGGCCTCCCGGCGAGATGGGCTGCTTCACCTTCTTCAGCTCGCCGTAGATCTTGAGCGCCCTGAGCTTGGTCTTCGAGAACCCGCCGGCATTGTCGCCGCCGCCCTTGCGGTCCTCGAGGAGGGCCCTCGGCTTCGCTCGGTGGGTGGACTCCGTCTCGGAGGACGACAACGTCGAGAACGTTGCGGCGGAGCTCGAGTCGGAGGAGTTGCGCGAGCTCTGCTTCTCCATCCACTCCTCGATCATCATGGCCCTCCGGAGGTTCGACAGCTCCCTGTGCGAATATGACGAGGAAGAAGACGAGGCTCCATGCCTGGTCTTGTGGGTGCCCTGTTTCTTGATCAGGGCCGGGTCCGGGAACAGGGGAGAGGCTTGGTCCTGGCCGCCGGACTCGTCGATGGAGCGGTAGATGGACTCGAGGAGGGAGGAGGAGAAAGACGGGGTCTTCCTTCTCTGCGGGGCGGTGGGCTGGGCGGCGGCGGCGGCGGCGGACTCCCTGCTGAGCGGTCTCTCTCGCTTGTTCATGGCGGCGTCACATGCAGTGAGGAGGATGCAGGGGGGGCAGGAGGAAGGAAGGGTTTTAAGTAAAGAAACAGAGGAAGCGAAAGAGAAGAAGCAGGGGAGGAAGTGGGGACAGCGAGGAGTGTTAGTTTAAGGCGAGGTTTGTCTGCTGAGAGAAGGTCAAAAGCTGCAAAGGACACACTGAAGTGAAGTGAAATCGCGAGCAGATCACGTGGAACAGAGCGAGGAGGAGGAGGAGGAGGAGGAGGAGGAAGAAGAAGAGACAGAGTGTAGAATTTGGACATAAAAATCACTTCTTTAAATGTCTACTATCTCTCTCTCTCTCCCTCTCTCTCTGTTTTCTTTTGGTTTTTGATTGAAAGGTGAGGAAGGGAAGTGAGCTTTTGGAGAGGGTGCACGAGGCAAAAGTTGGAAAAGCAGATCTCGCCCTTTTGGATTTGGGCAAAGTTGTTTTATTGAGGAAGTGTTGGAGGGAGAGGACTATAAGCTGTGTGTGCACTCTTGGAGAATTGGCGAGCCCCGCGGGGGGGCCGCCTCTCCATTTAATAATAGCCCGGAGCATCGAAAAGCAATTCCCCCTTGATCCCTAGCCGCGACATGGATGACTCATTTTCCTATCGGGAACAGTCCGGTGTTGGAGGGATATCGTCCGGGACGACGTGTGGGGTGACGTCCCGGGGGAAGAACGGGGGTGGATGTTGGGGGGTTCGAGGAGGTAGATAGAGACAGTATACTTACAGCTCGATTCGGTCGGCGCGGGTTGCGTGTATGATAAGAGATTCGGAGAAGTTTTAGCGAGAGAGCGTGATAATAAATAGAGTTTTTGATTCAACCCGACATTCACGTTGCTTCCGGCATTCGAGGAAACTCGCATAATTAAGTGTGCATTTAGTGGGGCTTTTACCCCTCATTTCACTGAGGCACAAAAAATGATTACCAATACGGTTCTAAACATATTGTGTGAATGACAATTCAGTCTTAAACTTCTCGATTTTCTCAATATAGTCCTGGACATTTGCACGAAATTCCAATGCAGTCATTCCGGCCAACTTCCATCGAAAATTACTAACGTGGCGGCATCCAGCCATCGTCCTACGTGTCACACCGACATGAACAACTTGCGGATCGCCACGTCAATGATCTTCTGGTGGCAATTGGCCGGAAAGGACCGCATTGGAATATGGCACAAAGGTTTAGAACTGCAATGGCAGAATTGAAAAGTTCAGGACGAAATTGACATCCGTGCAATAGGTTTAAAATTGAATTGACAATTTTCCCCCGTAAAGTCCATAATGCTAGGTTATCCGGTTTCTGACTTGTGGAATACTCAAATTGTACACTATTGCATCTCCACAATGAAATAATAGATCCTCAGGGCCAAAAGCAAGAACCAAAATCATTACCATCCCAAGACAGATGAACTATAGAGTCTAGCCACTCTTTTTCTCTGGATTACATATCACTACATCAAATGATATGATGGCACTTGTTTATTTTCAAAGGATTAATTTCACACGTCACAAGAAAAAAAAATTAAATTTTTAAAAAAAAATTTGAGAAAATTCCTCCATCTCTTACAAATAAAATCAGTGTTCATGGATAGAAATGTTTTGGATGCTTCGGAAAGTATCACCTTCGTGTCCGCCCAATCAATGTTGGAGCACCCAAAGTTATGCCCACTGGCTTCTATTGTCCACACCCACTTCTCTAAGGGACGTGATTGGTGAGACGATTCCACGTCAGTGATTCGATGTATTGGACATAAGCATGTATGGAAAAAAAATTTGTATAGCCGCTGTTCGAGAAAGAACCTTTGCGAACCTCACGGATTTTCGATGTATGATTGGCTCGATGTAGCAGAACGAGGCTATGCGACGCTTGCTTTTATGGAACATGAGATTTTCGTTCGGACTCGGGGTCCATAGATGCGGCGCGACCACAACAGTGGGAATCGGGCGCAGGGCTTCACTCGTAGACCCGTTAAAACGGGGTGGCTCGGGTCGGGTTCAGGTCGGATTAAAAAATGGTCCGATCCAAATTAATCAATTTAACTCGTTTCGATCCATTTCCATGCGATACAAATCAAGTGACTCATACCCAACTCGATCCATATTACTGAAACACTTCCGTGCTTAACACAATTCAGGAAAATTTATACCCAAATTGAGATGCGAGGGCGATATCGAGTGAGAAGTCATAAATGTGAGTTGGGTTTAAGTTAATTATGAACCCATTTTACATCCATACATATTAAACCCATTTGTTGAATATAACATGGGTTAAGAAATAGATAGAGAACCACCCGCCTGGGTGGCGCTGCTGGAGCGCGCACTCTTCCTCTCGCAAAAGGTTGAGTGTTCGAATCACGAGCGCCATGAGGGTGACTTTGCCGTGGCACGTGTGTGGTGGTAGCGCGTGTCGAGCCCTGGGTTTCTTTCCCATTTGTCGGCCATGCGGGGTCCCTGGATTACCAAAAAAAAAAATAGATAGAGAGACCTATTTTCGCATGTATAATTCACCCAATCAACGGTCCTGTGATAGAATCAAATTCCGGCAGGCCGGAAAGGAATTTCTCCATTCGAGAGAGCATAGCATAAAAGCATCTGCGTTGGCACGTGTGCACGAGAGGTTGGATTAATTATTGCTGTGGCCTCTCCAATAATTTTTTTCTTTTTTTCTTGGCCTTTTGAAGGCTGACAAATCCCCAGTGAAGAGCAGCGGTGGGGGGATTAGGGTTTTCGCTTTGGACTTAATTTAGAAGGCAAGCAAACATCGGCCAGCCGAGCAAAAACATTGATCACAGACAGGGAGAGACCCAACAACGCCTCGCAACACAGGATCAGAACTTGTCCCGTTTCCGTACGTGCTCTTCTCGTGCCAAATTAGCAGGCTTTTTTGAATTCGATTAATTTAGCTTTTCTGTCTTCCGAGACCGATCCTTCCTGGTAAAGAAAAAGATAAAAACGATTTTATGCGAGAAGCTTGGTTAGATCCTGTCTCTTGAAGAGTTAGGGCGTGCATGGTAACGATTCTGTGCTCGGAAACTGATCCTGCTAAAAAATGATTCTTTTTTATTACGTCCCCGGGAACAATTTCTAAGCATTTGAAAGCGGTTGGTAACTGCTCAAAATTCCTATTCTTGAAATAGAAAAAGAACATAAATGTGTTTGATAACTACACAAAATTTCTTTTTATTAATAATATTTTGAATTTTTTAATATTTTTTTCTTTTTTTTTTCTTTTTTTTTTCTTTCCTTCCCTTTCCTTCCTTGGCCATGGCCGGTCGCCGGCGTCAGCGACCGGCCAAAGGCTAGGGCCGGCGAAGGCGTTATGGCCCTCGCCACTGCCCTCGCCGTCGCGACCCATCTCCCTCGCCTGGGTCGCGACGGTGAGGTCGAGATGAGCCTCGCCAGAGGCCGACGAGGGCCACGACACCCTCACCGGCCCTGACCTGTGGCCGGTGGTCGGCGGCAGGCCAGGAAGAAGAAAAAGAACAAACCAAGAAGGTAGAAGAAAATCAAGAAGAATAAAAAATGGAAAAATTGTTCCCATAATCAATAAGCTATTTTTTTTTGCTTCTTGATTCTGTTGCAAAACTGATTTTGGGAACAGTTTTTTGCAAATTTGTGCCCGGGAACAAAAAATTTAACGAACGGATTTCTATTCCCAAACTGATTCTGGAACAAAAGAACAGAAATTTTTACTGTTTGGCAACTTGCTAAACAGGCCCTTGGATCTCGCGTCCACATTTTTGCAAAATGATGCAGTTATATCTACAGGTAAAAAGACTAAATTGCGCCACCGGACTTGCGACTTGCTATGTGTCGTGTGTGCCTTCGAGCTCGTGATGCTTGATTGACGAGAGACTCGAGTTGCACTCGATCTCGGAAAGGTCGGGTTCGAATGATTGGCAAGTTGAGCTCAGACAGTCCCAATGTAGCTTCGTTCCGTTGCACTTGGAGAACCCACCTAGTTACTTGTGGCGCCAAACATGGAATTAACAAAAGGCTTGGGCATGTGCGTTTGATCGACCAGTTTTCGTCGTTACCCCGAGCATTGAGATGGAAATGATTTTTCCTGTTCCTAGTGGAGCGACGAAGACAACTTGCTACAATTACTAAACTTTGAATCAAATGCAAAACTCACATGTTCAGAGCCCCCGGTTCCCCGCGATCAGTTTAGGGTTAACATTCGCTTGTCAGTCAGGGTAGTGCATGGCGCTGCGATCCTGTTTTGTATATGTAGACTGGAGTTCGTGTTCAGAATCATGTCAACTCATTCCGTTTATCCCGCAATGACTGAGGACATGATCGCATCAACAATTTGGAGAGGCGGCGAAGAATTTGGTAACTGAAAGGTGGTTGAACCTGAACTGGCGATCCAGCAACAGCTAAGGCGTGCTGAGCGTCAGGCAAGGTCTCCCGTGCATCTCGGCCTTGTATAATGCCCGGGGAAGAATGCATTCAGGGGATCCATATATTTCCAAATACTTATACGAGGCAAGTTCGAGGCGTTAGAAACAAATTTTGGGAGGAATGATTGCTTGAAAATTCTTGGCCTGGACACAAATGTTCATTTATGGGGGCTCATGCTGATGCAGCAGCAGCATCGGATGTGGCGGATTCGAAGGATGGGAAAGGAGCAGCAAAATTTCAGAAGAGATGAAATGGAAGGAACCATTAGGAGTTAGCAAGACGAGAACTGAGCGATGACAGACGTTGCCTTGATCCTCAGGCGTAACTCTTAACCATATCAGTGTGTTTTATTACATGGGCTTGTGAGTATATGTTTTACAGAATTTTATCAGCACTTGAAGGTCTGAAGAACGCAGGACGATCAAGCCCCAACCTAAGAAGCAGATTTCTCTAGTTGCTCCCCGCCGGAGGAATCTCACCAAGGATCAAACCGGCCGGTTATTTGAGCTCCTACCGCAGTTGTGTTTGGAAGAACTCGGCAGAGCAATGTAAGTGCTGATATGAATGCTCAGACTGCCTCTTATATGTCCTTTCCTATGTTACTAATATCCAGTACTAACGCATTTTAGAACTCACGCAGCACGTACAAGCTTGGTGTCTTTTGGCAAATTTATTGTTTCCCTACGATCTTTTTGACAGGACTGGTGGCCGAGATAGAAAATGAAAACTTTCGTGTTAAGTAAAAAGTGAAAGGAGATGGAAAACTAGTGCTACTTTGTGTAATATATGCTAATGTGCCGACTTGAAACTTTTAGTATACCGATGATAACCCCACAATAAACGAAAGACCTACCCAAAACTGAAGGATATTATAAACAAAATTTTTGTTCATGACCCGCATCCCGTGCTAATATCTCTGGAGCATCACAAGGAGTGAGCTCCAAAAGAAGTGGTAGCTTACAAAAGATTTTGGTAGCTGCCACATATGCCTAGAGGTGCCTGTATAAACACCCTTTAAGATATACATTTGAATAGGTTTCAGATGCAACATTGTAGAATAAGTGAAAAGGAGAAAAAACCGGCAAAAAGGAACAATTGGTAACCTCAGGAACCGCGACCATTGCCTTTGTGCTTTCAGTTACAAGTACTGTTCGTGGATCCTCGCCCTATTTTCTTCCCACCATACTCGAGCATGCATCTCCCCGAATCTTTCTCGACTGCAGCATAAACCACATTGTGAGAAAATCAACGTTAATTTTATTGTCACTTTGACAGCAGCAGTTCTAGCCCAATTGGGGCCGGTGCAGTGGCACCAATCTAGAGATTCGATGGTCATGGCCACAATGCCCATCAAGCAGGAATATATTGTGGGGAGCACGAGGCTCACACACTGCACAACCTGGAAGGGTAGCCAAATGGGTGCTGCCCATTTTATGCATTGTTTGTCAAACAACCATTTTGATAGCTCGAACACTTGGCATTCTGGTCACAATGCAGCCGCTTATCCTCATCATGCAGTAAGAGTTACTCCAGGAAAAAGTTCCAGTTAGCTTTGCATTGGTAATTATCTGGTGCTAGTGAACAAATAATTATCTGTTGTTGCTAGTACACACAATCCATGCTGTGGACCAAATTATTCCAAGGAAAGAGAAGTGCAGCAGAAACATGCATATTTGAATAATAGCATCTAAACATGAATGGCTCATCTTCATCAGTGTTACCATGTTTAGTCTGAGGATGTTGAAGGGACGAGTTCGTTATTTACAAATGAATGTGATGATATGATGCTTTCTAACAGAAATAGATATCCTCTATAGACATTCGTAACATTGCTCCAAGATGTGTAACTCGAAGCTCAACAATTATGCTATGTTGATTTATTTTACTTTCAGTAGGAATCGGAGAAAAAAGGACAATTAATAGATCAATAAACCTATAGCATGAACTCCTCACTCCTAGAGAACCATTTTAAGATGCGTGCATCAAAGGCAAAGTACGATTGCAACTGCTGTGTGGGTTTCGGATTAATACACTGTCAGTCGAGTAGATAATTAGAAAGTTCAAAAGAAGCTCACCTGAATCTGACTCGTCTGAGCTCTCTTTTACCACTTGGTAATGCTCTAATAGTTATATAAACTCCCGGTTCATCTTGTTCAACCCATTCAGTTTCAAGATCACTAGCATTGCTGATGGACAACTCTCCTGAGCGATCTGCATCCCTTGAAGAACTACTTCTCATTGAGGCATCAATTGATGAAGTTTCTGTCTTGGCTCCACTGATGCTGGAGAGTTTTGGGGTAGATGTGACACCAGTAGAGTCACGGCAAGGGCGTGGCAGTCCAGGGTGCTGATCAAGTGAATCTGAGGAGGAGTAACCCATCGCCACCCCTGGTGGACGATACAAGTTTCGCGGAAGACGTTCCTTTGTAAGTGGTGGAGTTACAGGGCTGTCTTGCACAGATTCTATTTTTGAGCTCTGTCATTAAGTAGATAAATAAGCATGGATTGTTCATTGAACAGTAAATGGCCACAAGCATGTGAGGTGTAGAAAGCTGTACAGATCGAGTGTAGTTGAGAAAAGAATGATTAAATCGCATATACATGAAGTCTTGTGTGCAAATTAAGGGTTTAAAAGTTGACTAACAATTGCACAGTGTTGTGTTGCAAAACCAATAACATGAGATGGCCAAGAGGTCTGTCGATGGTGTTGACAAAAACAATCCTCTGATATCATTTCCGGCTGTGATTTTCTCAGAAGAGTCCGAAACCAAATTTAGTATTTCGCCCCGCTAGAATTCGAAAACTTTATATATGCAAGTGGTGTTTAGCTCTGTTAAACATAATGGGCAAGAAAACATCATCCCCCCTCACTTTTTAACACAAACTCGACAGGTTTGTTTACATGAAATGGCCCATCATATGCCATGATCTGAGCATGAGTTGCACTCCTTACAGCCCATGGAGTACATGAAGCAGCATGGTTCCTGATATCATTTTAGGGAGGATAAAGTTCACGATTTACCTCATCTTCAGACCTCGGGGGGGTTGGAAGTGGAAAGGCTTGGCGGTTAAGCCTCTGGACATTGTATAGTTCCATGACCCTGTCATAATTCTCTGTCCACCATCTTTGAGCTTGGTATTTGTTGAACATGTCTCGGCTAACCGAGTAAAGTAAAAATACAGTCAATAATTCAGTCCAAACGTGAGAGCTGACATTCATATCAACAACAAAAAGGAAAACTAAATTTAAAGAGACATCATATGCCAGTTCTCTTTTGAAAATAGCGTGAATGTGTCCCGGATGGAATGAAGCTTATGCAGAGAACAATTAGAATTTCAGCCTCCGACTAATTATTGCTTGAACTGCAAAAGCTGAAGGCTCTGCTCGAGAGGGAAAACATGCCCTCATGAGCCACTCAGTTTGCTCTGCTAGTTTTCTGACGGTTACATTAGTAGTATGCCCTGCAGCTCACAAGGTTGCATCTTTTACCCCCCTTCTCCGTTGTTATCTTTCCTTTTAGAAAGTTTTCAACTGTCATATCGGGTACAATTGCTTCCTTCACAAATAAAAAGATTTCTTTCGTAGTATATTATGTCCTGCTGAAACGAGCTGCTCCTTTGCTGGTGGGTTTTACAAGTCAACAGTACGATATTTATGTTTTACGCCTTACCAGTCACCATAGTCATACAATTTGCATGGTAGTTATTAAGTACTAATCCTAGTTCATCTCCCCGACTTGCTGTAGACTTAGAGTTAGCCTTCAACCATTCAAAAGAGAGTCCAAGTGACTGTAGAAAATGCATAACATGCTCTAGAGAAAGCATCCTTCCCGTAAAAAAATAGACCCAATGAGGCCTTAGTATCGTAAAAGGATCTGGATCTGGAGAAATCCAACCGTTTTTCTCGTTTGCACTGGTAGATATATGTTCCATGACGGGAATGACTTACAGCGTTGTACACATACTCGAGGATGAAGGATTAGTCCAAGAAACTAGATCGCTACAGGGGCTAAATCGATGCGAGGCCTCCAGACAAAGTTGGGCACGCCTGCTGCATGGAGCTTCAACGCGAATCATTAAAAGTCAAAGCAGCTAATCAAGTAACTTTCACTCGGTTAAAAAGCTGTAGGTCGGCCCGGTTGGTGCCACTAATCCAAACTTGCTTTATTGACAAAAGAAGAAGCAGGCAATGAGAATCCAAGTACCTTTGGGGCAAAGGTACCACGACAGGTGGGGGCCCAATCTCTACCGCTACGAACTATATAATTCACCAGAGATTAAACACTATTATAATCACACTAGTCAAAAAGGCGCAACCGAGAGCGATGGTCCCCAGCGAACCGGATCGCCAACAACGGCAACACTAGAGGCCGGTTCCACTTGGGTTTTGTCCTCTTTCGTAGGTTTTAGGGTTGGCAGCATGTGTGAAGTGAAATGGGGTTAAACTCCTATTCCATTACGAACGCCAGCCATGACCGGGAACGCACAAAAGTGGGTCGGAACGAGACACGGCCGCGGAGAATCAGGCGTGGCCCCTCCTTTTCGAAAAGGAAAGGGGAAGGGGTGGGGGGAGGGAGCCTTCTCCGACACGAAGACAGGTGTCTCAGTGGAAAAAACATAAAGAGCATCCGGGGAGGAAAACACAATCGAGGACCTGTGTCCCTACAGCCACTAGCAAGCCACCATCATTCATAGACATCTCTCTCTCTCTATCTCTTTACTTTTTGGACTTTCTTTCTCGACCACTTTCGTGGGGTCGAGGCGTGAGAACTACTGTTCGTGTGGGGCCATCTTGTCTGGGATTGTTCGCCTGATAAAGAGGTTTCTTTCAGGCGGCTTTTTCTTCTTCATCCTACTGCCCCTCCACCCCCCCACCATGGATATTTCTTTCCTCAGATCAAAGAGAATCTCAATGACAAAAGTCGAGATTCGACTGGCCAATTCATTCAAAATCAGAGTGCTGATATGAAAAAATAACGAAGTTCTCTCGCATTTTTGGATTGAAGCAAAGATCCCCCCCCGTATGCTGTCGTGAACAGAAGTCGCAGAACTTCTCCAGCCAAGGACTAGAAAACAAAATGAGTTTTTCTTTTTCTAGACTATTCTCTGCATTTTTTCACGCCTTAAGAAGTTTCCATTTATTCCGTATAGTGTGGGACACATGCAATAGATTTCTTGTCTTGCTAGGCTCATGGGGGCCTAAATGTACAACAAGGTGATTCTCCTGTGTAATTAGGCCCTAATCGTAAACTCGATGTGTTACTTCAAACTATTTTTAAGGAATGGTCGGTTTACTGATAATTCACTATTGTCGGGTTTAATTCTTTCCTCAACTATTAATTTGGGTCATTACTTCTTAAGCTGATCGTTTCATCTTTGAAAGAAATTTCACATCTCCATTTTGGTGCTCGACATCCAAGGAGGATTCGCCCCGATATGTTGTGAATTTCTAGATTTGGTATCATTAACTTCTATTTTTCACTTTCTAGCAAAAAAAAAACTTCTATTTTTCACTTGTATTGGACCACCACCACCACGATAACGACATGAGCCGACTTACGGCGGGGGCCGGGGTGCCGGAACCACCTCGGGCATGCCCAATATTCTTTCAAGTGGGCTTGCCTAACAAATGGGGTAAGTTAGAACGCGTAACCAGAGAGCAAGAACAGCTTCCGACATTGCAAATTCATTATTCTCCGCGACCCCACTTTAATGGAGAAAATCACCCCACCAAAATGAAAATTAGATTTTTTTTTACCCAACAAAAAAAGAAAGCAGAAAATAGATTATTCTTCCTGTCCCATTGTCATAAATACAGTCAGAAAACTCATCGCTTTTTTTTTATTCTTTAAATTTTTTATTTTTATTTTTTGCCATTGAAGTCGTCTCGTCATACTTATCACGAATATGTTCAAGATAATTATTTTTTTATTATCTCTTTTGCTACGATCGGTTGAGATAATTAATTATACTTATTGGAAAATAATAATTAAAGGATAATCAGGGAGGGGCGCACCTGAACCGTATCCGCTTGAGATCGTTCCCGCCGCGGGGGAGCGAGACGAACGTGATCAGCACGCCGGGCTCGACCTGGGCCACCCACTCCTTGGGCTCGCTCTCCTCCACGAACACCACCGGCTCGCGGCGCCCGCTCGCCGACTTCGGCGTGGCCTCGCCGCTCGATATCCCCTTCAGCCTCGCCTCCAGCTCCGCCTTCCCCCACGGCTTGGGCGTGTTGGAGCTCGAGCTCCCCTGCCGCCTGTACGACCACCGGAACCGGTCCGAGTCGGCGTCCGACTCGCTCGAGTTCCGGAGCCGGCCCTGGCCGCCCCCCGCCGCCGACGGCGGCGGCGGCGGCCCCGTCGTGCAGGGGCTGCAGTGCCTGTACGCCCCGGAGGCCTTGAGCGCCATGTCCTTAAGCTGCCGGGAAGAAGAAAGAGCCAAAAAAAAGAGAGAGAAAACAGAAACAGAGCATGATCGAACAACATTAATGGCGTGATCAACTACAGCGACTCGAACTCGTACGAAAATGAACCGTAAGAAAACGATCATTCGACCAGAAACTTCACCTGAGAAGTGAGAGACTTGATGGATTGGTTCTTAGCGCCGGCCGCGGAGGCGGAATCGGCGGCGTTCTCAGGCTGACTCAGCGAGTCGTCGCCGGGCTGCTTCGAGCGAGCTATGCACGTCAGCATCTTCCCCCTTCCTTCTTCAGCTCGGGCCGCGAGATATATTATCTCTCTGCAACCGACGCAACGACCGTTAAAAAAAAGGCGTTCAAACGCGCACCACATTGCGCCACAGTCCGCTAGAAATCACTGTGCATATCTGACACGGAGCAGAGAGGCCGGAAAAAACGAATGAAGAAAGAAACCTCGAAACAGCAGGCTCGCTGATGATCGGAGCAGTCCCGCAGCCGCCGGGATCGTGATCGCGGTGGAGCGATTTCCAGGCGATCGAATCGATTTCGGAAAACCTAATTCGGCACAATCGCGCATCAGACGAGCAGATTACAGCAGTCAATCCTCGAGAGAAGATCCGCACACGCAGAAGAGAGAGAGGAATAGAGAGAGTACGGCGAGAATCTGAGGACGCCGAATTCTTGCGGATGCGCCGGTCGGCCTCAGCTTCAGCGCGCGCGGAGACCGAGGACGCTTTCTCGAACGGGGGCCCCCCAATCACGCGGCCGGAGATTCTCTCGCTCGCGCGCGCTCCCTCTCGTCGAACGACGCCGTCGCCGCCGTCATCGCGGAGGCGGCGGCGGGAGGAGTCGCGAGCGGAGCCGGAAGAGCTGGCTAGCTAGCTCTGCCGCGAGCGATTCGCGGTCATGGCGGCGGCGTCGTCTTCGTCGTCGTCTTCTTCTTCTTCTTCCTTCCTTCGTCGGGGTCGTGGTCGAGGTGATGAGAGTGATGAAGGGTGGGGAGGGGAGAGGGGGGAGGAGGAGTGGGAAACACACTCGGTCGGTTGATGGCTAATCGGTCATCATTGTGTGCGGTGCTGATTTGCTTTTCTGTCCGTTTACTTTTTTGCGCCTCCGAAATATGAAAGAGATATATAAAAAATAAAGTAGAAAAAAATGGAAAATTGAGGTCGCTGATCCCGAGCCATTAAATTAGGCCGAATTCCGCATTTCTTAAATGCTTCTAAATAAAGGCCAAATTTTAATTGATTTATATATATGAGGGGGGTGAGGTTCCGTGTTTTTGTTTGACGGAATTAATTTAATTAAAAGCGAGCCTTTTAAAAACTAAAAGATTTTCGCCCGTTCAAATTTATTTCCGGTGGACCTTTATTTTTCTCTTTGAAGGGGGGGTTGCTGTACGGTCAAAAGCGTGGTTTCGCGGTTCTCGGCTTTTTGAGGGAGTGGGGCGTGGGGTTGGGGGGAGCGATGAGCGCATGGGCGTGGCGATGCCTTTTTCTTATTCTTTCTCGTCTTTCTTTTCTGTTTCGGTTCCCTTCTTTTCTTGATGATCATCAACAAAAAGGGGATCGCTGGGTTTTGGGAAAGGGCTTGGTCGGTGCTACGTCGTTTTAGGGTTTTTAGTTTTCATAGAATGGGGGCCCGAAAAGGATGCGAAGGGGGTGGGGGAGGGTACGGATGGCCGGCCCATGGGCCCGGGGTTTTGTTTGGGGTCGAGATGTGGAATTTTTACGCTCCTTTCCGGGCCACTTTTTTTTTTTTTTGTTGATATATCGATACTAGACTAGGCGATGCACGCGCTACGTGCGTGTCGGATCTTCGGGGGAATAGATACTGGGCCGGTGCTAGGAGGGGATTCGTGAATTAAACGCTGGGGAATCGCGGCGGCGAGCGCCGTCTATGCTCATTTTTGTGGGCGCTAGTGTTCGCCTGTCGAGTATCGAGTCGGGAGGTTGACGGAAGTGGGGCGGCAGAATGGTTAATGCATCGGGCTCGTGATCGTCTCACTTGAAGGAATAGATCCACCTCTATCGTGCCCCCGCCCCCCCTAGTCGCCTGTTCTCGAATATCCAATTCCAATGGAAGCGTATAAGTTCACAAATGGATTTTTATGTATAGCCACGGGCATCCGTCCAATGCACATTCTTTTTTATCTTTAACCCCTATGCAGGCCTGCTTCACATATATATGGATTTTGAATTCAATTTCGAATATATCTAAGACTAGTTACCAAATGGGTCGAGGATGTTGTTATCATTTCCAAACGTGACACCAAGTTTAAGCATGGCCTTCTACAATAGCATAGAGTCAACGAAACCGATAAGGCCTTTTCTCTTTTGCTTTTCCAGTTAAGAAAACCTCGAAATTGTCAAGTAAAGAGAGCGCAGCAAACGTGCTGATTGTGGGGAATGTACGTGACATTCTTGTCCCCTACCAACCACATCATCGATTCTCAAACTTACCTAAGTCAACGACATAGTTGTAGCGGAACCGAAAGCTGCAGCGGATTGTTACAAAGTAGAACGAAGAGATCTCCTACCAACAGCATCGAAATCGAAATTAAAGAAGAGGGAATCGAATGGGACTAGCGATGATGCCACGCTGGTTGATTCCTAAACGACGGGGAAGGAATCTTAGGTTCTTGTTCTTTGTTCCCCGGGTTGCTTTAGGGATATGTAAATTCGGATTCTGGGATGATGTTTGAGCTTTTAATGGTGCTGTGACCGACCATAAAAAGTAAACATGATCTTCGAGAGGGATAATTACCTAAAAAAAAAAGCCATAAACCTTTTATACGAATATCAATTCAGTCTGAAACTTTTCAATTTGGTCAATTTAGTCCTAAACCTTTCGATGATTTGCCAATATAGTTCTTTTGGCTAATTTTTTGTAGGAAATTGCTGATGTTGATTAATTTTTTACGGATTTTTTTTGAATTTTTCTGAATTTTTCTCCTTCTCTTGTTTTTTCACTTTCTTCCACTGCGGGTCGCCGGCGAGGGTGTTATCCAATTTGCACGTGAAAGAAGTGGTTAGAGATCTCGCACTATTCATCTACGGGGCTGGACTATCTAAACATTACTTCAACTAAAATGCCTTTCTTGTGAAGACGACCCTTGGCGTATTTCCTTTCTACCGTGCAAATCTCGAATTAATAAGCGATGTGACCGGACTAACATCGAATTAATTCATGTCTATCTCCAATTAAATCCGATTATCTGCAAGTAATCATTCATTATTTGAATTAAATGTGGCTCGATTTTCGATCCAAACAGGAAACGGAAGCAGTCAGTAAAAAGCGAGCCACCGAAATGAGAAGGAAATGAACAAAAGACGTCAGTAGGAAGAGCATCGTGTCCCCTCCCCCCTGCCACGACATTCTCGTATCTTACGATGAAATACAGTGCCAACACGCAGTGGTGCCTCTATTGTACAAGATAGTTCCTTTCTCTATTTCTCCTTGAACCTTTTGACGACGTGCTCAGGTCCAATGGAATATAATGCCAACACGCGAGAAGAAAATTGGAGAAAGCGGAGGAAAGAAAGAGACGAGTTGCCTTTTTACGACTTTCAAGTTGCGGGACGAGTTGCCTTTTCACGACTTCCAAGTTGCGGTATTACATCCCTGTAATTGCTGTTTTTTTGTGGGCTAATCTAACATGTACACCATCCCAAGGGCCTCTTGTCCCGGTAACGTGGCATCATAAAATGACGATAACAACTCGATGGTATTCGTTTTTCATGCGATATAAATTTAGTGATCCATACTCGACCTCGATCCGCATTTCTAAAATATTTTCATATTTAACTAAATCTAAGAAAAGTCATCCTCATACTAAGGTTAAAGTGCGGAGTAAGCAAGTATGAATGGAGTGAGGGTAAGAGAGAGTTATAGAGGTGGGTTTGGTCTAAAAAAATTGTGAACCCGTTTAACACCCATATTATTTTGGGCTTTACACATCTATGATCCATTTACTAAATATAACTAACTCGTATAACAACTCGGCTCATCCAAAATGAATTAAGAAATGGATTTATGACCCATTTTGGCACGATACATCAATTCGGGATTTTTTATGATGCAAATATTAGTTTGGGGTAAATGTGCTCGGGAGTTTTTGTGGCACGAAAAGTAATTAGAGGATAAATGTGGCACGAATGAATTAATTTGAGGTTTGCGGTGATATTCGCCCTTTAGACTTTTCACGTCCTTTAAAAGATTTCAAGCCACGAATATTTACGGTATAGATTTTGGGGGCTTAGGGGCTATAAGCACAGGCTTTTATCAGGTGCAGATAACACTTTGTTAATACACGAAGATAAACCCAGATATGGAAATGGCCGTACATCTCCAATTGGTTTTGGCTAGAGACGACGATGCCATGATGATTGGGACTTACTTGCGACAGAGAGACACAGAGGCGTCTCTGATCCTATTCTTCATTTGTTCTGGATTTGGCATATGAATACGAGGTTGTCTCGTGCAAGTGCCTTCCATTTTGTCCAAGGCTCTCGTCAGCTCTCTCCACATCCACGTTATCCTCGGATTCAAGAGCTCGAAACCGAGGGAGGTGCCAACCGGACTTTGCACTATCTTGAGCTTGAAGATGAACTAAGGCCCTAGAGAGAGAACACAAAGGTTGTGGGATAATTGTTCAAAAAGTCTTAAATTTATTGCACGACGGCCAATTTAGTAATAAATCTTTTAATGACTTGCCAATTTAGTTTTTCCGATCAATTTTGACCAAAAATTACTGATGTGCACGTCGGCCATCTTACACAGTGTGGCCGGCTCCGGCGAAGACATATTTTACATTTTTTTAAAGTTACTTTTCTTTCCCTTTGGCAGGCAACCTTCCATAGGCAAAGGTTGGCAAGGGCGTCGCAGCGTGGGCGAGGGTCACCCTTGCTGGCCATGGCTGAGTACCGGGCCAAAGGAAAAGAAAAGGAAAAAAAAGAAAGGGAAATAAAGGAATTATTTTTTATAAAAATGCAAAATTTGTCCACATCAGCGCCAATCACGCCATGTGGGATGGCTAGTGCCCGACTAGCATCTACGTCAGCGATTTACGGCCAAAATTGATCGGAATGGCTAAATTGGTAAGTCGTTAAAAGATTTGTGACTAAATTGGCAAATCATCAATATTTATGATTAAATTGGTACAATTGAAAGGTTTAAGACTTTTTGGACAATTTTCCATAAAGGCTACCATATTTGTAGGAAATTAGAAATCAAACATGATTATGCATGACCCAAAACAAAGAAATTTAAGCTCGTGGAACTACTTTCGCGAAAGTCATTAATGATAATGAGGAAAGGACAACGACGCGTCGTGATTTGAATTGAGAAATGAAATCGATGTGATCGATTCATACGGGGGAGAATACACAATTCAATTTTGCAAGCTAGAAAGTTGGATGTCAATGTGAAGACATTAGGGATCGTCTAGTATGTGCTGCCTAACGATGATTTGGATAATCTACTGAGAGAAACAACCAAATACGCTATACTTATATGACGGGAAAATTACCAAAAAAGTCCTAAACCTATTGCAATTGTGCTAATTCAATTCTAAACCTTTTTTTTTGCCAATTCAGTCCTAAACCTTTTGCAATTGTGCCAATTCAGTCCATCTGGCCACTTTTGGCCAACCGGTGTTGACTTGGACGCCGGCTGGTGCCGGTCGTCCGGCCGATGCTGACGTGGCAATTTTTAAATATTTTTTTTCGATTTTTTTAACTTTTTTTTTCCTATCTTCTTCCCTGGTTGCTGGTTCAGCGATTGGCTAGAGGCCGAGGTCGGCGAGTTGGAACTCACCGGCCATGGGCGAGGTCGAGCTCGCCATCGGCGACGGCAAGGTCGCCCAGATTTGGCGAGACCTCGCCGTCGTTGGGCAAGGTCGAGCCTCGCCATGGCCGGGCAAGCTCAACTCGCCCACCAACGGCGAGGCCACCCAGATCTGGCGAAACCTCGCCATCGATGGGCAAGGTCGAGCTCGCCCGGTCATGGCGAAGCTCAACCTCGCCCAGCGATAGCGAGGCTGGCCCTCGCCAGTGCTGGCGAGGGCCAGACTTGCCCATGGTCGGCGAGTTCCAACTCACTAGCCTCAGCCTCTGGCCGATCGCCGAACTGGTGACCGGGGAATAAGATAGGAAAAAAAAAAGAAAGAAAGAGAGAAAAAAAGTAAAAAAACAAAAAAATTGAAAAAAAAATATTAAAAAATTACCACGTCAGTGTCGGCCGGCATCGCTCGGCATCCACGCCAACGTCGGCCGACACCGGCCGACGTCCACTTCAGCGCCGGCTGGCCAAAAGTGGCCGGATGGACTAAATTGACACAATTGCAAAAGATTTAGGACTAAATTGGCAAAAACAAAGTTTAGGACTGAATTGACAAAATTGCAATATATTTAAGATTTTTTTGGTAATTTTCCCGTTTTATGACTATAGTACTTTCCACCTATTTATAAAACTGCCCCCTATTGAACCCAACGAAGAAAAGAAGATAACATCGACACAAAAACGATGATCCGCACATTCTTAACGTGTTTCGAAAGTACATTAGTTTCTTATAGTGCTAACCTCCATATACTTTCTCCATCTTTGTCCTTTTGTCGCTAGCTTTGTTTTCTTTTAGACTTTTAAGTCTTCCTGATCAATTACAAAGAAAGAAAGAAAGAAAGTACATTATTTGTTTATTATATTTGATAAAATGTATAGTGTTTTAAATCTAACATCAACTGATGTTGACTAAAGAATTATGTTAACTTTTTAGCTTTAGGAATGGAAGTCTCCTGAAAAGGGTTGAGATCAAACTAAATTGTGATTATGCTTTTGGTGGAAGTGTACTATATTTATTGTCACAAGCGGCAACGGCGGCAAGATTTTGCTAGAAACTACAGATTGCAGGTACTATATAATGACTAGGTTGATATGAAAATTGATATCGAATCAAATCAAGTCCGCATTCGCATATATACATACAAATATGGAGTTTATATCATGTAAAACTTACACAACCGATATATTTATAAATTGAGTTTTCTAATGTCAAGATTCAGTTTAATCGCTACATTATGCAAGATATGATCCAAACTTTAAGACCATGCACTTTTGGAGTTATAAAATGGGAATATGATATAAATATCTCATAAATTTTGGTTCAATGTGCATTATCGTCTCTAAACTTTTATTTTATTCAATGTAGTCGATGAACTTTTGTCCAATGTGCAATGTCGTCTTGAACTTTTAATTTGTTCAGTACGGTTCTTAAATTTTGATCAAATGTTTAATGTGATCCTTAAACTTTTAAACATTTTCCTTTAGTATAGAGACTACATTGAATATTTACCAATAGATCACGAATCACATTGAGCAAATGAAAAATCTATGGACGACATTGCACATTGGGCCAAAATTCATTAAAGGACCACATTGCAAGAATTAAATTTAAAGAGGACATTATATATTGGACCAAAATGTAGGAACCATTTGTACTAATATCCCTTATCAAATCTTGATTGGTTGGCCAATCTAACTTGAAAGTAGTATGATTAATTCTAGCTCACAAGTCACAAGAGGATACAAAGTCGACGTTGAGGTCTATTAAATGGTAGCACAATATTAGAATAAGACTAATTAAACCTCTTTCAATGTAGAAATGGCCACGGACCGACCCATTTCAGGTGGTCGGCCTTGTTCAAAATCGAGATAATGACATAAATGGTCATTGAACCTTGGCCAAATATATAATGTAGTTCATGAACTTTTAATTTGGTCAATGTGATTCTTGAACTTAACTCTAACGTACAATGTAATTCTTGAACTTTTAATTTATTTAATATGAACCCTATATTTTTTGTACATGTTCAATTTAGTCCTCGAACTATATGAAAATGTTCAACATTTTGATTTCATTAATTCAAGTTTATGGATAACATTGAACATTTTTATGTAGTTCAGAGACTTAATTGAATACGTATCAAAAGTATGGAGATCACATTGAGCAAATTAAAAATTTATGGATCACATTGCATATTGGGCCAGAGTTCAGAAATCATTTGTGTCATTTTTCCTTCAAAATCGGAAACCATCCCAAACTCGGGTCGGGTTTTCAAAATTCGGAGGACCATAATAGTCCCATTGGAGTCACAAAAAAGAGTAACTTGATTTATCTACATATGTTCTCGATAAATATATCAATACACTAACCCAAAAGGGAAGAGAATAATTGCCTAATAAGTTTGGTTATTTGCAAAATCGACTAGTCGGGTTTGGGTTTTTGAGTACTTGCAAACTAAATTCCGAGCCCACACCTATATCTTTCGATATTTTTCTTAATGGCACCACAAACTCGTCCCAAAACTCGAACTTGTTGTATAAAAGCTCAGTGATTGCCATGTTATTGCTTCGGCTCCATGCAATGACTCTACATTTCCAGGATTAAAAGCGCGCCCTTAAGATTATCGGGAGAGAGGTGGACTATTCGAGACGGGCGAAAATCAGATACCATCGGAGCGCTTAAAATTAAAATAGAAAGAGACCGAGAAAAATGTTATTCATCCATCACATGCTTCCACCAAATTCCAGACCCCTCCTATCCACGACTGCTCCTTTTTATTTTTCAATTTCGCCCGAGATCCAACATCATCCTTACAAATTTGAAAACCAATCACCTTTTTTTCTCGCGACATTTTTCCCTGGAAAATTCGGAGAACTTTCCCGTGCTCTCTCCTAATCTCTTACTTTTAGGAAGAAAAGAATGCTCTTCTTTTTTGTAAAAAAATGCATCGGATCGAGACCAAGATCCGATGCGTAAAGCGGTCTCCCAACACTGTACCACGCATACACACGACGACAAAACTCTACAATCGTCTAAGAAATTTGTCCTGAGCTCGCGAAACCGCGCGATGCAATGACGAATCCCGGGAAAATTACAATTTTCTAGGAATCCGGTAACCGACGGTCAATGACCATCTCCCGGGAGCCGAATTTTCCCACGAAAATTGCAGATTTTCTCAGCAACCAAACGGCACAGCTGGGAAAATTTCGTTCCCACTTCCCACGGCTTTTTTCCTCGCTGCCGAGCGCCTTCCTCCTGCTCGTTCAATAAAACACTCGAGCAGGCCCCGCCGTCTCCATTGGCGACGCCGCCGCTGCCGCCGCCGCCGGCATCGAGCAAATCTCTCGAGGAGCATTGAATCGCCGGAGATCGATCGCCTCCCGCCGCGCTCGGATCCCCTCGGGGGAGGGGGAGGGGGATCGTCCATGAGGTGAAGCTGCTCCGCGAGCCTTTTTTTCTGCCTCCTAGGCCCGTTTCCGGAGGACGATGTCGTTCCTTCGCCGCAGGAAGGCCTCCAGTTCGGCGGCGGCGGCGGCTCGCGCGCCGGGCGAGGACGACGGCGGCGGCGGCGGCGACGGCGAGAAGAAGGAGAGAGAAGCGAAATCGAGGAGGAAGCAAGGTCAGCAGGGGGGAGGGGGGGAGCGGCCGAGGAGGTGGTCGTGCGTCGACAGCTGCTGCTGGTTCGTGGGGTGCATATGCTCCATTTGGTGGTTCCTGCTGTTCCTGTTCAACGCGATGCCGGCCTCGTTCCCGCAGTACGTGACGGAGGCGATCACCGGACCGTTGCCGGACCCGCCAGGGGTCAAGCTGAGGAAGGAGGGCCTGACGGCGAGGCACCCCGTGGTTTTCGTGCCCGGGATTGTGACGGGCGGGCTCGAGCTGTGGGAAGGCCATCAGTGCGCCGAGGGGTTGTTCAGGAAGAGGCTCTGGGGCGGCACGTTCGGTGAACTGTACAAGAGGTAAGGGGCTATTCTCGCCATTCTTTTCAGCTGGTGCTTGATTCGATTGTGTTCGAGTCTTCGAGTGCCCAGGATTGGTGTCCTTAGTTTTGGTCGATTCATGTTTTATAGTGGGGGTGAGTGTAAGAACTGGTTTCGATCACTGAGGTTGGCGACTGTGGTTGGCAACGGAACTTACTGCTTTTACAGTTTATTCTGGAATATACTTTTTCCATTTTTGGGATGAGTGTGACGTGAGGGAAAGTGAATCTGAAGCTCAAATTGGAGGGATTGGAGCCCTGGAGAGAAAGCAAGCTAGAGCTTTTCGAACGTTTTTCTTTTTTGGCTATTTTGGCAAGTTTTTCGCCATTTGCTTGCTATTTTCCCTCCCCCTTCCCGGGTTCTTAAGTCAAATCGGCGAAGCTGAAGCGATAGTAGCTTTCTTGGCCATGTCGCTTTAGAATGTCAGTGGATTGGTCCGATGTATATCCTTTTTCGTTATGGCGATGGCTTTATCGCAGGCTATTGCTGTATGTCTCTCAACTTTGTCTCCAGGCCATCACAAGAATCTGGAATATCTAGTAGTTCACCCAAAAATGAGCCCTTTAATTTATATTCGAAGTTCTCGCTTCTATGTCTCTCTTTGCTTCACGGAGCTCCTTCTTTCTTTGTTTTGGTTTCAAGATCCCCATAGATTGTGGAGCAAATGAAAGCTGAAACCATTCTTTTTCTCTGGAATCATTTGCAGGTGTTGCCAAATATTCAGTTATTGCCTTGTTCTTGCTCAGTGGGAAAATTATTTTTGAGAAATCATTTGACAGTTTTTGATAACCGACTCTGCATCTTTTATATTGAAAATGTATAATGTACAATTACTGTGCCCATTCTCCTGACATTTCCCGTCTTTGTTTGAAACTGAAGCTTTTCTAGTTTACTTGCACAAACCTGTGGGATCCTGAAATCTTATCCTTCAATATCCAAAATCTCATGGAACACTTTCCTCGCGAAACAACAGGTCCATTTCCAAATGACTTTACTTTCTTCTGTGGCAATGTTGAACAGCATTTGCAATGCTTCAAGGTGTTGCATGCACATGCTTTTCTGTACAGAATGTTTGCGCATTATTTTACACTACAGTTTTATGTATCTGTTGATGTTTTCTCCTTAGTCCATTAATCAGAAATGTTTAGCTGGTCTGGCGATGTTAAGTTGATGATCTAATGGAGCTGTATCGGTGTTTGTCTTTATTTCCTGCAGGCCTTTATGCTGGGTTGAGCATATGTCGCTAGACAATGAAACTGGATTGGATCCTCCTGGCATAAGGGTTAGACCTGTATCTGGACTTGTTGCAGCTGATTATTTTGCTCCTGGATACTTTGTTTGGGCAGTCTTGATTGCCAATTTGGCTCGAATTGGTTATGAGGAGAAAAACATGTACATGGCAGCATATGATTGGAGATTATCATTTCAAAACACTGAGGTATTCCTGTTGCGCGATCCTTTTATCTGCTTCTGAATTTACTGGTTTCAGTCGCTTGTATTGAATCTCTGAAATCAAATTCATTAGGTCAGAGATCAAACTTTGAGCCGGATAAAAAGTAACATTGAACTCATGGTGGCTACTAGCGGTGGGAACAAAGTAGTTGTTATTCCACATTCTATGGGTGTCTTGTACTTTCTGCATTTTATGAAGTGGGTCGAGGCACCAGCTCCTATGGGTGGTGGAGGAGGATCAGATTGGTGTGCAAAGCATATCAAGGCAGTCATGAATATTGGAGGACCATTTTTAGGCGTTCCAAAAGCAGTTTCAGGACTTTTTTCAGTTGAAGCAAGAGATATAGCAGTTGCCAGGTTCTTCTATGAACTCAGTGTTATATTTCTATCATCCTTCTTCGAAGTGATGTCTTTGCTGAAAGTAGCTTTTTTGCCAAATATAGAGGACGTTCTCTTTGTTGTCCTGTTTTGATGTGAAATAGACATTTGAGTTAGCTATTCTGAATTCATTTCTGATTCGTTAGTGTGAATTTCAAAAAGACACCTTTCTGAGGTTCTGCTAATCAAAGAGATGGTACCGTCTAAAGCTTTGAGATTTCTCTCACTTCCTCTCATTTTTCCAGCAAAATGCATCAGCATGTGACAGCAGTACTGATACATTGTATAAAAAGGAAATAGTGTTTCACCCCTTGAACGGCATATGCACTTCACACCCTACTTCAAAATGATTACTTGACCAAGTTGTGTTGTCTGTAAACCCTGTCAACGCCCTCCACTGGTTGTCTACTGCCATGAGTTGAGGGTGTTGGGCGCTGATGTAGGTGTATAGCGCAATACCCTCATAAATCAGGAGGGTACAATGCAATTCCCACTCTAACCACCCCCCCACCTCCCCCCCCCCCCGCCGGGGCGATGTTAACGTTTTATCAAATTCCAAGGTATTGTGCAAGAGGCTAGCTTCAAATTTATTTTCATTCATTCAACCTTCCTAGGTTTATTTTAGTGTTGTGGATAGTCGCAAATGCTTGAGGAATATACTGAGAAAGACTAAAATACCGTATTGTTCATTGCCTGCTCTCGATCAATTTTCTAGAAATTTAAAGTGGAGGAATATCTTTATTTCACCAGACAAACTACGTATGGTGGTTATTTCAGTGTAACTATGTTCTTAGGAATCGATATATGCTATTATTTCTCTTATGTTATTTAGTGTTCAGACATTGGTCTTATACTTTTCTCTCTCACAGGGTAGTACTTTTTCAAATGATTCAAACCATTGCTCTAGATGAAATTGATTTTGCTAGTATGTCTGACCAAACTAGATTGAGTATTTCATGTTGGTATTTGAAGTGTTATCTATGCTGCACTATACGATGCTTTATTGCTGGGTATTCATGTAGTAGTTTATTATGCCTGAACTACTAAATCAAATCTATACTTAGAACTGTCGAGTTATTATGTCTGGTCCCTTTGTGGGCTTCTTATCATCAAGTGCTCGTGTTGTACAGGGCGTTTGCACCAGGTGTTTTGGACAAAGATGTATTTAAATTTCAAACTCTGCAACATATGATGCGAATGACTCGTACTTGGGATTCAACGATGTCAATGATACCGAAAGGCGGGGACACTATTTGGGGTGGTGTTGATTGGTCACCTGAAGGATTCTTTAACTGCAGCACAAAGAGGTCAAAGAACGTTGACATTACTACTTCAGAACTCAGTGCAGTCAAGGATCTGGAAAATAGAGCAGGTGTAAATTACGGGAGGCTAATATCATTCGGTAAAGATGTAGCTAAAATACATTCTTCCGAGATTGAGAGAACAGATTTTAGGGTATTGTCCCTTGCATTTTTTTCAGTCACTCTGTTTATTGTGAAGTCCCTCACGTCCTCCCACCCCATCCCACCATGCTGGCTCCCCTCACAATTGAGATGTGATATAAAATTGACTGAAGTTTTTCATCTGAAATTCCTGTATTAGAAATTTTAGAAACTTCTTTGAAAATTTTAGCAATTTTTTTCATTGTCAATACGGTGCACTACTTCTTTTTCATCGTTGTTTTTTGAACTGTTAAATCGGTGTGCAGGGTGCTGTCAAAGGCAGAAATCTATCAAATACAAGTAACTGTGATGTGTGGACAGAGTATCACCACATGGGAGTTGGAGGTGTGAAGGCTGTTGCAGATTACAAAGTCTATACAGCAAGCTCAATTTTGGATTTGCTTTATTTTGTGGCCCCCAAGCTGATGAAACGTGGTAGTGCTCATTTTTCATATGGAATTGCTGATAATTTAGATGACCCCAAGTATCAACATTACCGATATTGGTCGAATCCCTTGGAAACAAAGTGAGATGATCCCTCCCTTTCTCCCAGTGTGTGTGTGTTTGTGTGTGTGAATCAATGAATTGGGCAACAAATCTACTTTTATGGGGCATTTACTTGCACGTATGGAGTGGGTCAGTGTTAGGCGAAACTTTTACTTTTTACTTTTGCCTTTTTTCTTTTCTTGTGACTCTTGACAGACTCTCATTTAACACGCCACGCTTGAAATTTTTTTAAAAACTCATATTTATTGAAAAGAGCCATGTATAAACTTATTTTATAAAACATTTTAAAACTTTAAATGCTACTTTTCCATTTTCAAGTATGTAAGTTCTTATTATAAAGAGCATGACCAAATAGGCCAATGAATACACTAATCTCAAGGACTCCAATAAACTGCCTATGCATTAACATATGAGTGAACACTATGTCAACCGTGTTTTTGAAGTTTTGACCCGATTATATTACTATGCTTAACCTGTTAAAAGAGGACGGACTTGTTCAAAAAAAAATCCCCAGAAATTCTCCCTTTTAAACAGGAAATTTTTAAAGTTTCGATCAAAGAAAAGAAAACAGAAAATTATGAAAGTTTTGTAGCAAGCTGTTCTTTTGAGCAATTGTTCTAGAAAACACCATCTGGATTTTTTTAACAAATTCCGGGAGATTTAGAGAGATTGCTGGTACTGAATTCTGACGGATGGCTGTCTGTTTGTTTAGACATTGCTGGCAAAAGTACCATTAGGAATCAGTTATTCATGGCATGTGCTTGCTGAGGAAGAAGTAAACTCATTGCTTATGCTGCTTTCATTCCCTCCACTTTTGCAGATTACCTAATGCTCCGGACATGGAGATATATTCCCTGTACGGAGTTGGAATTCCCACGGAAAGAGCATATGTCTACAAGGTGACTCCTACTTCAGAGTGCTACATTCCTTTTCAGATAGATACCTCAGCGGATGGTGAAAGGGAGGACTCATGTCTGAAAGATGGTGTTTTTTCTGCTGATGGAGATGAAACGGTTCCTGTCTTGAGTGCTGGTTACATGTGTGCAAAAGGTTGGCGAGGCAAAACTCGTTTCAATCCATCTGGCATTAACACATATGTAAGAGAATATGATCATGCACCGCCAGCCAATCTCCTGGAGGGTAGAGGTACCCAAAGTGGAGCTCATGTTGACATCATGGGGAACTTTGCGCTGATTGAGGATATAATTAGAGTGGCTGCAGGGGCTACTGGAGAGGATTTGGGTGGAGATCGAGTTTTCTCAGATATCTTCAGATGGTGTGAGAAGATCCAGCTGCAGCTCTAGATTCACACGGTGAGTTAAGCTTTCTCAGAAGTACGATGATGCTTCACTTACTCACAGGGATACAATATGTATTTGATTGGTTTTTGGATTTCTTGCTTCCTTTGGTAAATCGTCCTTTCATATCTGCAACTCCCAATTAAATTGCTAGACTATCTTTTGGCATACAAAGTTATGAACATGCAAGGAGAATTCGTTGTAGTTCGTTAGTTCCTTCTAAAAGGAGCATCGTGTTCTGCTTGCTTGCATATTTAGTTCGTTCTGCAAGAGCAAAGTTATTATATGAAGGAGAAAAAATGCGGCATGCTCGATCAGTTGGAATATTCTATGAGGAAAAGGAAAAGGAAATTGTTAAACTCTATAAGGAGATCTGAAAGTTCCTTGTTTGAGTTTTGTCGTGTTTACTAGGTTTTTCTGATGCTCAAGGTTCTTTGCAACTGTTCCTGCAGACAAACACTTGGGCATTGCTTCTGCACTTCAGGAGGCACTAGGCAGACGGTTTGCACCGAGAAGTGACCGAGACATGGTCACGTCACAGCCGGATCATCTGCTCGCCTCGGCCTGCTGAACTGAATTGAGGAATGTACTGTTGAAGAGCAGAATGTGGTATTGAACTGTAATTCCTTGTCGTTTGGGCTCATATTGGCAATGCCGCAAATTATGTGCAATAACTTCATGTAGCCATTCCAGCCCTGCCACTGAATTGGCCGCTGTTCTGCAAAATTTTGCATATTCAATTAATTTAATTTTTGTTTTTCGACCAATATTGTTAGGCATTAATGTAAATCTCTATCTCTCTCTCATGCTTTGTCTACAGAATAGTTTGTGAAGATAAACTGGACCTTCCTGAAGGAGAAACTAGTTCTTTTCTGGTCTTTCTCTGTCAGCAGATGTGACTGGAGTCTTCTGCTCTCCTATGGTTCCTATATTGTATCAGATAAAATACCTCATCCGTACGCCCTTGAACATGAATAATTAAGTTGATCAAGTACGCAAGTCGAGCATCGAGCCCTGGTTTTCGCGTCGAACTGGGCATTCTTTGCCCTGCCTGATGAGTCGCAATCATGCCGAACATAAACTAAAATGTCCTTTGATCCAACACCTCTCTCTTAAGCTTTCAATTCAGTAAGTGCTATCCTCTTCACCTTTGTTTGTATCAGTGTTGTTTCATGACCGTCTTCAATAAGCAAAACACACAAAACAAAAAAGGGAAGAAGTCGCAAAACTACAATCTATATTCAGTGTGACAAAAAAATCTTAAACTATGTAAACTGTGATATATTTATCATAAAATTTTTATTGTAAAAACCTAAATCTGCACTTATGCGACATATTTATTCTCGGTTAATGTTGCCTTAAATAATTCTTCAACTAAAATAATGTCGTTTTTATTCATGTCAACAATGTTCGCTTTCTGGCGTCCATGTAGGCTGATTTTTAACAGTTCTCATTAATAAGACTATGATGGAAGGTAAATATATTACACAGATATAAGTTTGGGAATTTTTGTGTCACGGAAAAAAGTTTAGGGTAAATGTGTCACATGTATATAAGTTTGAGATTTTTGATATCATAGAATAAAGGGAAAATTTCAAATAAGTACCCAAAGTGGAGTCTTTTTCTCAAAAGAGGGTTCAAAGTGGACATAGTATCAAATAAGGGCCTGAAGTGCCTAATCAGTCTCAAATAAGGGCCTGAAGTGCCCAATTAGTCTCAAGTAATGGCCTGGGTTCGTCGGCAGATCAAATGCTTATCGGCCGGCAAGCACGTTACTGTTCTGGCGATCGGAACAATGGCAGTTTCGTCTTTTACTTTTTAATTTTTTTTTCTTTCTTTTTCCTTTTTCTGTTTTTTTCTTTTCCTTTTCGTTTTCTTTTTTTTTTTTCCTCTCTTCCCTCCCATGGCCATAGCGGGGCCGACGGAGGTCGTTGGCCTCAGGCGGAGGTTACCCTCGCTGGCGTCAAGCAAGGGCCGCCCTCGCTCGACGCCGGCGAGGGTTGCTTTAGCTCGACCCTCGGCAAGGGTTGCTCTCTCCGGTGTCGGGCGACCCTCGCCAGCCCAGGCGAGAGCAGCCTTTGCCTGAGGCCGGCGGAGGTCGCCGGCCCCGGCTATGGCCAGCAGAGGGAAGAAAGGAAAAAAAAAAAGAAAAGGAAAAGGAAAAGAAAGAAAAAATTTTAAAAAATAAAAGACAAAACTGCCCTTGTTCCGATCGCCGGAACAGTTATGTGCTTGCCGGCCGGTGAGCATTTGATTGGCCGGTGAACTTACCGGTCGGCAAGCACAGGCCCTTACTTGAGACTAATTAGGCACTTCGGGCCTTTTTTTGAGACTGATTGGGCACTTCATGTCCTTATTTGATACTATGTTCACTTTGGACCCTCTTTTGAGAAAAAGGCCCCACTTTGGGTTCCTATTTGAAATTTTTCTCAGAATAAAATTTAAGGTAAACGTGTCACAATGGATATATTTTAGAATTTTTGATGGCTATTATCTTCACTTGGAAAAGCTTTAGCAGGCCAAAAAAGAAAAGACGAAAAAAAAAAAGACAGACAAATGTATTTTTTTGCAATTAAAATTCCTAGCTTCCTCAGATTCGAAGCGCTAAACACTAGACAACATTGGCAAAACGACAAACTACCTCTTTGTCCTCGGCGTCGACCCTGATTTTCCCGAAATAGCCTCCTCGCGCGACGTGATTTTCACAATTCGATAATCGCGATTTTCGCCCGACCACGAAATTTTGGCCCGTTCTAAACGTGGATTAGTTAATTCATATACAAAATTTGATGAATTCTAGGAAGACTTCTCGCCATTATTTAATTGTTTTCGTGGGGTCTTAAAAGAAAATTTTTATACTTATCCGTTGCTTTCAATAGACAAGACATGTCGGGTTACGTTCTATTCAGATTGGTAGACTTATTTTAATAAATATATTTCTAAATGAAAAATATTATTTTAATTTATCGATACTTACGAACGAATTTGTGATACTAACACATAGTATTCGTACGGTTTCGGAAGTATAATAAAGCTATAAAAAAAAAAGAAAGAAGCAAAACCATACATTCATTTATGACAAATTATTTCACAATAGGATAAGGTATTATTTGGTAATCTATAAAGTTTTTGACATTTTCCTCCCTTGAGTGCTTAAGTTTATTGCAGTGAAGATGACATTTCAATTGTTTAGATGTTTCGTAAGTGCGAAGTCATTTATTTTTTATTAATTTTTTCTTGCAAAAGCAAAGTTCCATTGCTCTAAGTGGTGTCATTATCTAGAGATATTTTTTCCTTTTTATAATTATGATTTTGACCTCTTGGATTTAATCATCATTAAGTAGCGATTCTACCGGAAGTGGTGGCGTTGTAATCGCGCAATCTCACCTCACCCCGATGAACGACACGTGTTCCTCATCATTTCCAGTAGTTAGATTTTCCTTTTTTATTCGGGAATTATGTGCTAGTTGAAAACCATGATAGTAAAACCGCCGTTTCGCCGCCATCTCTTATGTGAAGCGAGGTAACAAAGGTCGGAGCTATCAAACTCTACAAGCCCAACACCTATCACCATCGCCACTCGATGCATCGCTTGCCCTGCGCCTCACTTCGTTGACTTAGCCCCGCCTCCATCAAGTGCCACAATGTTGTCAACGACCTAGCAAGATCCGTCGCGCCCTTGACTACCTCAACCCCCGTATCTCTCTTCCACTGCCTTCCTATTGTGAGAACTCCTTCGTCGGGGGTTAGTGGTAGCCGTTGACCTCCAAAATTTACTTGTAGCCTCGCCTCTGTCAACCTTGCTTGACCTCGAGTTGACCCAGATCCAAGGTCGAGTCGAGCTGAGCCGAGCCGAGCCCTAAATCTTAGGTCTGGGGCTCCCTTGAGCTCATATCCTAAGATGTTAGACTTGAGCACGCCGGTTGAGCTCGGGCTCGACAGGGGCGATGACGAGCCGCGGCGAAGAGTGGAGACCGGAGGCGACGGGCTCTCGGTTCATGCGGATCTTAGCTTGACGGAAAATGTCGATGCAGCTTAACCTCCAACATGGAGCTCTATAGCCAATCACTTGTTAGGACGTGAATCACAACCGAAGATTGGAGTGCATTGTCATAGTATCACACAGCCATTATTTGGCTTACCACTTTTGATAAGTGAAGACAGACAAAGCAATCATAGACATAGTGTCATCTTCAATATTATAAGCACCACGAACGATGAATGATTGAGCTTGATCAAACAGGCAAGTCGAGCATCGAGATCAAACAGGCAAGTCGAGCATCGAGCCCTAATTTTCGCGTCGAATCGGGACAATTTTGGACCCCGGCCGAGGGTCGCAATCATGCCAAACATAAACTAGTAGTCCTTTGATCCAACACCCCACTTTAAGCTTTCGATCGCTAAGCCTTATCTCTTCGTCTTTGTTCGTATCAGTGTCGTTTTATGACCGTCTTCAATAATCAAAAACACCCGAAAAGAAAAAAAGAATAAGAGAGAATTGAAAATTATCTTTTTTTTGGTCGAAAATTGAAAGTTATCTTCACTTCACATAAAAAAAGCCTTAGCAGGCCAAAAAAGAAAAGAAAAATGGATGATCTATTTAATATATAAAGATTCGATGAATGCTAGGAAGACTTCTTACCTTTCATTTTAATTTTGATATCGTGGTTTTCAAAGGAAAATTTTTTATTCTGGTCCATCGCTTTCAGCTGACGAAGTATGTTATGTTTAAATTTTTTTTTTCAGGTTTTTATATCGGTTTGGATTGAATATCCTTCTTTTTTCCAGTAAATACATTTCCACCAAAATGAGAAATAATATTTTAATTAATAGAAACTTATGTACGAATTTGCGATACCGACAAAGAACATTCATACGGTTTTCTATCGCGGGTTTCTAGCGTAAAAGATCACTCGCTAGACATTGGAAGTATGACGGAGCAAAAATGAAAAGAGAGAAAGAAAACGAGCCAAGTAAATTAAACACCAAACTAAACATTCAGTTAATTATTTCTTCATTGTTATTATTGCCCCAAGTCGAGGTATTGTTCGACTATAAGATATTATATTATTTGGTAATCTATAAATTTTTTGACACTTATTTTGAAAGCTTGAGTTTATTATCAATCGAAAATTTCAATTGCTAGATATTTTTAACTTTGATTTATGGGATGGTTTAGTATGAACCATTTTACCATGTTTCCTCGGTCCTTAGATATTTGTGCTGTGACTCAAAATTAGATGTTTTTTGTTGGTGTAAAAGTCATTTATCGATTATATTTTTCGCTAGCAAAAGCTGAATTAATTTACTCTAACTGGTGTGATTATCTAGAGATCTTTTTTTATATATATGAAATTATGATTTTTGACTTTTTTGTTTGCTGGTTCTCATTTTCAGCTTCAACTTCGATTTAGTCATCATTGAGAAGAGAGTGTACCGGGAGCGGAGGCGTCGGATCCGGGTACTTTCACCTCGTTCCGATGGACGACACGTGTCGCTAATAATTTTCGAAATTCTTTGCGCGTTGAAAATCGCAATTTCGCCGCTCTCTCTCTCGTGTGAAGCGGGCTAATAAAGATCGAAGCTATCTAATAATTTTTCCTTCGCAAGCCCCTCGCCCATCACAACCGCCATTGGACCCGTCGCTTGCCCTACACGCCACTCCGTTGGCACAATTGGGCGCCACGATGTCATAGGCAACCCGGCACCTCCCTTCCGGACGACGACAACAACCAACAAGCCCCGTCGCGCCTTGTGGTTGCCTCGGCCCCTGCATCTCTCTCTCTCATTGCAATGATGCCACGAGAACTCGCCGAGGGGTTGATGTTAGCCATTGATCCCCAAAAATCCAGCCAGGGCAACCATCAACCTTACTTGATCTCGAATCGACCTAGATCCTAGGTAAGGTCAAACCCACCCTCGATTCCAGATTTAGGGCTCACTTGAGCTCAAATATTAAATCTTAGGCGTGAGCAAAAATCTTCGGGTTCGATGACGGTGAGGGCGAGCCATGGGCAAGTGACAATCAGAGGTGAGGGCCCATCGCTTGAGAGCGGAGACGTCGGTGGCGGAGATCTATAGCGAACAAAACATATCACAAGTAATTCTAACTATATAACATCATGCAAATAATAAGAGCAAAAATTAGTCCTAAGCAAGACGTTAAATGATTTCATCCAGAGCCTCGTCCAGACCTCGGGATCCTCTGAAATATAAAGCAAAAGGAGGGTGTTTCCTCTCCTCGGAGAAGATAAATATACAATGGGAAATTAAGGGTACGAGGTATGCGGACACCAAAACGTTAAAATAAGGAATGCATTTGTGAAATCCGTCGTCCCTGTAAATCAGACAAACGGGTCACTGAGGCCCTCTTAGGAGCTTCTTAGCTCCTTTCTTTTGGTGAGGTTACCGCTTAACCGAACATCAAAGATTTAAGGGAAGTTCTTAGTTAGGAAAAAGGCCCTAAAAGACGGGAAAAAAAAGAAGAAGACAGCGAATGATAATTACAAACAAAACAAATCATCGCGCAAATAATAGAGTAAAAATTAGGAAAGATAATTTTTTTTTTTTTTTGGGTCAAAAGAAGTTGTCTACAACCCCAGCTATATATATGCATTGTCCGAATACAAAACCCAAATTATTTCCCAGGTTGTCTCCAATCAAAAAACATAATGAATAAATAAATAAATGAAAACAAATAGTATTTCAGGTGGCGATATTTAATTCGATTTTCTTTTTCCATCGCCCAGTCCCCAGCCCACGCGCGGGAGCTGCACGCGCCCCGAAAAAACCCATTATATGGATAACTGCAGCTAAATAGATCATTCATCTTTTTTCACCGAGAGGAATTTCACTGTAAAAACGGAAGGGTTTAACTCAGAGTTCTGGGTAAACGTGAGAAGAAGGGAAAACAAGAACACCTGATGCGGGGGTGGAGTCGACGTTCAGCGGAGGCGCGTGGAGAAGGATCCGCGACAGTGAATGGCGGCTGGCGGGGGGGGGGGGGGCAGAGGGAAGAGAGAGAGAGAGGGAGGGAGGGAGAGAGCGACGGCTATGGAGGGTTAAGGGTGGTGGAGGTGGAGGTGGAGGTGGAGGAGGAGGCCTGTTTGGGTGCGTGGGCCATTTGGAAAGGGACGTCAGGGTTTAAATTTTTACAAAAAACAAGCAAAGGTGGAAGAGAGAGAGAGAGAGAGATGAGTGGCGGTGGGTGGTGGATGTCTTTATTGTATTCCCCTCGTCTTTCCAAGGTCTTATTTTTATGGGAGTTTAATGGGTGGGTTCTCTCCCTCCCTCTCTCTCTCTCTCTCTCTCTCTCATCTGTACTTCTCCTCCTTTTCCTTGGATTTTAATTTGTGGGTGTTGTTTTTTTTTTTAGTCACGGCAGAAGGAAGATAGAAACAATGAGGCACGGAGGGGGGGTTTTAGTGTAGAGAGAGAGAGACACATAAGAGAGAGAAAGGGACTTCGTGGAGTGGGAGGAGGAGGAGGAGGTTTCGAGGGGGGAGACATGTTCAGCTTGATCCCAACAGTACTGTTCTTTGCTTCTTCCCTCCTAAACCAGATCCTACACAGGTGTCTATCTCTGGCTTATTCTTGCTTATCTCTCCAGCTTTTCCATTGCTTGTGCTATTTCCCTTTCTTATTCTCTCCCTTTTTCCTCTTTGGAGCTAGTTTTCTTTTTTGTTTCTCTTGTGCTCTTCTTCCTCTTCCATGGAGCTTGTTTGCCTATTTTTTTGTGTGGGTGGCATGGAATAGGATAGAATCTAGCTGGGTCGGTCTTATCTTGTTGATGCATGTTGAGTTTCAAGTTGTTGCTTTACTCATCATTGCTTCTTCTTCCTTTTATTGAAGTAGGGATGAGTAGGTCCCTTATGAAAAATCTTTTCCCCGTTGCTTGTTTGGTAGCATGGGGTCCTGTGTTTCCTTGCTTTCGCTCTTTTGGCTGGGAGTTTCTTTGCTCTTTCACGTATATACATCTTCTTCACCGCACTTATATCATGTTTATTCTCTTGGTTTTTAGTGAGGGTCCTTCTCTGTTGCTGAAATTTCCCCCCCTTTTTTTTTTCTGGAACGCAAAGGAAGGATTTCTGCTGAATTTGTCGAGGCCCCGTATGACCCTTTTTGATTCTTATTTGAACGAGTCATGGCCAAGATGGGGTTGTTGAGAAATTATTTATTAAAGGGTCCTTTTGGCCCTAGTGTTTTGGCTGATTCATTGGCCAGTTGGAGTTTAAACTTGAGACCCCCACCACACTCTCAGGCCATCTGTTCCTTTTTGTTTCTTGTTTCTTGTTTCGATCTGTTGCATGTTGTCCACTTGTACAAAGACAATCCACCTGTCTCATGTATTGACTGGAGGACATAACGTTTGCACTCTTTTGAGCTTTTCTGGAGTTAGGGTTCTTTTCTTTTTAATTTGTTTTCTTTTTTCCTTTCCTTTGCCACATGAATCCGGTGAATTGCATTTGTGGACTAGTACACTGGAGCTGCTCCTTCCTGTGAACCCATTTGTTGGGTCAATCATTGGTCTGGATTTGACATAAGAAATGAATTTAGCCATATCACATTCCAGGTTGTGATGCATTCTTGGAACACTCATGCATGCTTAACATTTGACTGCTGATACCAGCAATCTCTGTGGTGGTTGGATATGCTAGCTTTGTGTCCATGTCTCCTTTTTCTTATCTTTTCGTTTTTCGTGCAAGGGGTTTTTTGACTGAGAGTTGGCTTATCTTATTTTGCCTTTTCAAGATTCAATAGCCATGGGTTTTGTGTTTAGGGAACCTAAGATACATCTCTATAAACTGCTAGGTGCAGTCAAACTTACTGGCTAAATTAATTTGCTCTCAGTATTCTAAAATTTGGTTTTCGAAGTCTGTGGCTTTCTATGTGAACCTTTTGATGTTGTGGGGTAGAAAATATATGGTTTTACTATAAGCTAACCTTTCTCAAATTCGTTATATGAAAAGCTTGTAGTGGTTGGTAATTCGTAACATGCTCTTTGGTATAATATATAGATAGATGTTATTACGATTTGGAATGATTAATTGTTAGCATTCATCAAATTTTAAAAGTTGTCTCATAGAATGGGAATGGGACTCCGCTGCCCTTCAAGGGCAAGTATCTTACTGAATTTTTCCATATTACTGGTGGGGAGGTCGATGGCGAACAAATTTTGCACACTTTGTAATATAGAGGATATCGATGCTGCATTACCTTATAAACTTAGTCATAAAGGTTACGGAGGTTTGTATGGCTATCACATTTCCATGGAAAGAGATCTATCACGGATTGTGTAACAGTTTAGAAGAGGCCACTTATAGGAGACATTGGTGTTTTCTTGCTGTCAAAGACATTGGTGTATTCTCTCCATAATGGAGTTTATCTTACAAATTTTCCTTGTATCTGCTGACTTTTGATTGATGGTAGACCTTAGGTATTGATAAAAGTGCATGTTAGGAATTTAATTATTAAACAATGCCTTCATCTAAGTGCTTCAACATATGAGCTGGAATTGTCTCACAAGTTTTTTCATGGTATTGGACAGGAGGTGTGGTGATCAACTCTCTCTAGGCCCTTATTTGCCTCTCCATTTATTGTTATTTCTATGCTTCGTTCTTAGGCAAAGTCAAGCTTACGTATGAGAGGAGAGTTAGGCACACAAACCATGTCTTTATGTAATTGAAAACTTAAACTTTTAGATTTTTTGGTAGTGGTTTAGCAAAAATCTGTAGTGTGCATAGGAAATGAAGGTCAATGAATTATCTATGAAAGATCTCTCTCTCTCTCTCTCTCTCTCTCACACACACACACACACACACACACAACCACACACAAAATACAGATTTACATGCATATGTATAGCTTCCTTCCATATGAGATAGTCAGAAAGGAAAATTAAAAGTTAATTACATGGGTGCCTTCAAACAAGATATAGGTGATATGACAAAAAAAAGAAAACGAGATATAGGTGAACATCCTCATCTAAATCGTGAATGTTGCAATCTGCTTAGAAAGCACGACTTTGCAAATCAGCTGTGCATGGAGAACTTTAACATGTTGATTCAGTATCCTAAAACTTTAGACCGTTTGTGATTGCATGTTCTTGTTCTTTTGGTGCATTTAGATGGGAATAAGCCTGGCTGCTTTAGACGAAAGTGTTTGATTTCTCCAGATGCTTCTAATCCAGTCTTCTTATTTGTGTCTTCTGTGTGTCACAACATCCACAAACACTCACCCACACACAGTAACTTCTTTTTTTCAAGTACTAGACGTGTTTATTTTTTCTTCTTGAGGTGCAGATTTTATTAGTTTCAGGCATTGAACTTTGTATCTGACTTTCTTTATTCTTTTCCAGATCCCAAAAAAATCAAGAAGTTATTTTTTAAAGCACGCATCTAAGCACAGAGCAGGATTTATTCCACAGGATGAACTTTTGTCAACATCTCGTGGCCTCATTAAATTTGTTTAGTTTTTGCTTGTCATACTAATTCTTTGGGACCTTTATAGTAGGAAGAAATTTTATGCTTTAGGTATTATGGGTTTTAGTTTGCATGCTACTCCAAGATTGAAATTCACTTCCATTGGTGAGTTTTCAAGTGAGTCAGATAATGACCATGTAAACAGTCCCTCCGGCTACAACTTAAAATTTAGGCCATCCTTGATTCTGGTGCTATTGTTGTCACGAATAAATCCCTTTATTGGTTCATAGCACCCCCTTTTACTTTAACTGTTGATGTAACCATTTTTCATTTTGTATGTTTATTGCATTAAGTTCTTGTTAGGTTTTTGCCTTCCCTTACTTTTCATATGTTTGATAGAAAATTCCTCACGTGATGCCATGTTTCTTATCTCAAACTGTACCTCCTTTATCAGAGAGATAGAAAGAAAATGGACTTTATATGTCCAACTCATTGGAATTCATTTTTCTTCTGTGAGCAGCTGATATCTGAATGAGTTGAGAGGAGCTCATTTCTTGTTCACCGTCTACTTGAATTTGGATCACTTTAAAAATTGCCGGAACTAGATGCCTATAAGAATCCAGAACTTGCCGAAGAAAAGTTTCGATCAAGGTTCGATCCTCTCAATGCCTCATGTCGGGGTAACTTACCCACCGTGGTGGAACCCAAATGAACAGCAACTTCCACCATCTATACCCAAAAGTAGTGGTTTGAAAGTGGAATCTCCACCCGTGCTCCATCACCAAGCAAAGCATTTAGGTCTTCAAATGCAAGAACAGGAATCGTCTTCAACTCAATCAGCTGGCAATTCTTGCCATGAAGTGAGTGTCGTGGGTGGGGCCAACTCTCAAGATCAAAGCATTTCATCTGAATCTGGTACTTTACTTTTTTCGATTTTCTGCTATTCTTTTTGTTTTTGTGGAGGAGACTAGGGGAGGGTGTAGTAATATAGGTATATGTTTGTATCTGTATGCTACCATTTATAGATTTGGATTTGGTTCATTTTCGAGGGCGCATTTTATGATGCTACGGGACTGTCTCTATGACTTTAGAACTAACCTGAGAATCTAGTTCTGGTCCTCATTAGTCTTAGCAGTTTCTTTCTTGACTTAAGTTCTGTAATTCGCTGCTCGAGTGTGCAACTCTGATTGGTTTAACTTTTCACTGGTTGCTTATTCTTTGATCTAGGTCAAGATGAAAGTTGCGGCAGGAGCTTTGAAGGTCAGACAAAGCCAATGTTCTTATTCAACAATCCGGAGATTGTCTTCAATTCTTCACTAGCTGATCAAAGCCAACCTCTGGTATGCTGAGCCATTATTTTGGTTTCTCTGTGTTGGTAGATTGTTCTTCTTATGCTTGTTTCACTGTCCAGATCCGTGTTCCATATCCCCCGGTCGATCCTTATTTCGGTGGGTTGCTGACTGCTTACAGACCGCAAGCTATTGTAAGTGAAAGTTCATGTCTCTTCATTAATTTTTTTTGTCAAATAGAATGCACTTCATTTGCTGAAACGACATGATTTCTTTACATTGTGAGTAAATTCCACCTATAATCACTACGCTTACGTTTAATCGAGTCTTTGAACTTTAATTTTGATTACCCAATGCACTAAACTTCCATTTCTTCTCAATTGATTTATTTCAACGGGAATCCACCCATTTATCTAGATGATGTGGATGCGGTAGTGCATGGCCAATCTTTTGACCATCATGTCATTGTCACATGGGCACCACATGGGAGTCTCGCTGAGAAAGTGGCAGGATTTTAATCAAAATGCATCCATTGAAAGAGATTTGAAAGTCTGGTGCATCAGTTAATTGAAGTCAAACTTCAGTAATTGATTGCAAAATCCGGGATAGTGAAATTTACCTGGGACCTTTTGTAGGTTGCTGATTTTTTTAATGTTCTCTAGATGTTCCCTCCCCCACTTTCAACTATCTTTGGAAACTTTTAAGACTTCTTTTATTTGGGAGCCCAGATTCAATCCCAGGTAGGATCTCAAATGTTAGGGATGGCACCTGGACGTGTTCCATTGCCACTTAACCTTGCAGACGACGGACCAATCTACGTCAATGCAAAACAATATCATGGAATTCTTCGGAGGAGGCAGTCACGTGCAAAGCTGGAGGCTCAAAACAAACTAGTCAAAGCTCGAAAGGTGTGTGTTCATCTTCATTGACGAGTTGATCTTAGGCTGCACTGCATCTGGTGTCATGAGTCCAGATCATGAACTCCAGTAAACCTTTCTCCTGTGTGAAACCATTTGGAATTTGTTTTGAGCTGTGGCCGACAATTACTTCAATGAGTATGCATAAGAGGTCACATCTGCATGTATATTGGCTTTAGCCGGAATAATATGACACCATTAATAGCACAAAATAATGAAGGGAGAAAAAACTGAAAACTGAAATTTAAAGAGAATTTGCATATGTTGCATTTTCTAGAATTACTCCTCAGAAGATATAGTGTAAAAATGATCGCACGTGATGTAGCAGTAACAAGTTATCAACCAGTTTCTATTTGTAATCTTGTGTCTTTTCTCACTAATTGGGCAAAGAGGGTGCTAGTTGGGCACCCTCCCGCTCCCTCATGTGGGCTTGTCTCGCACATTCCAAACATGAAGGAATTTGACTATAGAACTCTCGAATGTTAGATAATCTGATTGTTTCTTTGTGTCTCCAAAATCAATTGGCAGGAATAATCAAACTCTCTCTTTTGTTGTAAGTATTCAACACGGAATGATAATAAATTCTTTTGTTATCCAACCGAGGAAGTATTTCTTTGATACTATACTTTCTCTCCGCTGAATAACGCTAGGCTCATAAGTTGTGCGTGTACATGGCACTGAGAGAATGGGTTCCTAGATATGAGCTAATGTAACAATTGAGCGAGTAGGCTCTGCATCACTTTTTAAACTTGAAAAACAATTAGTTTCTTCTTGGTTCTAGCAAATTAAGACATGTTGGATGAGATGTCTGGTGATCTGATGTTGACTCGAAGTTATGCTGACATAAAATGAATGAAGCCTCACAGATTGCTAGTCCCGTCAATCACAGTGGTTGCGAAGTTCTTCCTAATTAGATGGTGATAATATTCTTTTGTTTCAACTTTTTTCACCTGATCAAATGCAGCCTTATCTTCATGAGTCGAGGCATATTCATGCCCTAAATAGGGTCAGAGGATCAGGCGGCCGCTTCCTCAGCATGAAAAAGCTTCAGCAGCTCGACCCAGCTTCAAGCAGTCACAGCCCGTGTGGCACTGGACCCAGAGCTCAAAATAAAGACGCTTGTGGACCAGAAACTCACCACGTGGGAGCCAGTGAGCGGCAGTTCACTTCGACCATGGCCAGTTCCAATGTCTTGAGCATGTCAAACAGCAACGCGGACTTCTACCCAGATAGCAGGTTCTCCGGGATCTCCGCCCACATGGCAGGAGCAATGCAGTGCAACGAGGGGCTCATGCACGGCGGCGCAGCCCAGCACTGCTCTTCATCCGTCCGGTGAGCGAGTGGTGCAAAGTCCTAAACCACTACAGCACTGGACAGGGCAAATCATCCTTGGCTTTGTTAGGTTTAATTCCCAACCGTTTCATACTTCGGTCGCACGATGACGCCGTGTTGTCACTGATACTGTTTTACTGATGTTGATTGGGAAATTCAAGTTAGATGTGTCGGTAGATTCGTGGATGTGTCCATGAAGCATTCCGGGTCATCCCGGTTCTTCGCGGGGTATGTTGTAGTTGTTCACTGCATGTCTCTGTCTGTGTTTGCTTAAGAAATTGCCGTACACATTACTTCTGGCCTGCAGGAAAAGAAAAGTTCTGCACATTAGAGTCAAGCTTTACTTGGTTAACTTCTTTTTTGGGGAATGAAATGGAGTTGGGACAGTGAATGATGGATAGATTGGGACTTGCAATTGAGCTTGTTGAATGCCTTGATCTGCGTCCAATGTAGAAGTAATCTTAAGTATGGGTGATCGGTTCCCACCCTAAAACCGAAAACCTCCCACTAAAGGACCGGTTTCATAAAATGGGAATTGAGAACCATCCGGTCCGATTCTTAGGTGGGCCCGTGAAATTGGTCTTCTGGACATTGTGTTGTTTAAATTTTAGGGTTTCAATCCCTTTCCCTTTTGTTGGGGGTGGAGATGGACTAGAAATGAAGAAGAAAAAAAAGAAAAAAAAATTTACGTGGATATATGGATCATTTGCGATAAGAATAATTTGAAAAATATTTTTCTCAAAAAATAATTGTTGTATTGCTTGAAATAATTAGTTAATGAAAAATATTTTTAGTATTGACAAAAATTTATATTAAATTTTTTTCGTGAACGATGAAAATATTTTTTGTTAATCATTTTATGAGTGATATAAGCGATCATGATAATTTAAAAGGTATTGAAAATGAAAGTAATGAAAAACCAAAATCATGAGGCAACGGTAGAGCGGGGAGGAGGGCATGGAATCTCTTCTTATAAAAAAATAAAAGGGAGAATAGAAGGGGTTTTATCGACCTAACTTTAGTTAATTATTGTTTAAAAAAATTAAACTTTAGTTAAAGTGTGCACGTAAGACTCTAATCTGCCAATAAAGAGGTGTAAGTGGGGTCCTTTTGGCTAAAGATAAGATTTCATCGTGCAGTTCCGGAACATATCCCATCTATAAATAAAACTAATCGAAAATGAAAACTTTATGTTAAAGAAGATAAAGTAAATTTAGCGAGATATCTCGTGAATTTATCTGATTTTGAAACGAGTTTTTTCGTCGTAAAAGAAAGAGTTAAAAATCGGCTAGTCTTGCCTGTGGTGGGTTATAATATTCTTTTTGTTATTACGATTTGCGAAGGAAATCAATAAGTGCTTGTTATCCAAATAATTGTTTGTTGGTCGAAATATTACAAAGACGGGCAAGTGTGTCTATTTGAATGCATAGTGGTATTTTTGTTTGGAAAGTTCGAATGAAATTGTACATGGTACTTCACACATCCAAAGCGAAAATAGTAGATAGAGTGAAGAAATTAGTAAAATTCACGAAAGAAGTTATTTCTTATCGTCGTATGGAGAATTATGAAAGTGAGATAGTTCGAGAGTGATGAGTCGACGTGATCGATGAACGAGTCCGAACAGTTGGGACAGGTAGCGAGCGTAAAATTTCAAACCCCAAACTTGTATTCAATTGAAAAAGCATCGAATTTTCCTTAATATATGTTTTGATCCTAAAGGACGCAAATGAACGAATTAGGGTGTATTTGGTTCGCGAAAAATTACTGATTTGCAAAATATTTTCCTAAAAATGATACTTTGGATCGCTTACAAAAAAAATATTTTCATCGTCCATGAAAATGCTTAGACATAAATTATTATCTAAGCATTTTGAAATTATTTTCACCGACTAATTATTTTAAGTAACACAAACGATTATATTTAGGAAAATAATTTTCAAATCATTTATTTTCAGCAAAACAAATAATGCTTCAATCCCGAAAAACTTCTTATCTTAGCTCACGTGCCCAAAGCCCCTTGAGCCAAAACGCGGGCGTTTGGGAACAATTTTAGAAACGCCATTTAAGAAAAGTCAGCCTTGGGAAGGCTAAAAGCCCATGACATGTCCCAGGCTGCCTTGGGCTTTTAGCTTTCTCAGCATGCAAGGCTCGGGTTAGTGATTTTTTTTTAGCTTCCGAAACTATCCTAATCAATTTTTCGGTTTTACCCTCGTTTATGATTGGTCATCATCTTCTTTGTTGAGATTGGCCGACGTGGTCGCGCTTGATGGCAAGGGATCGAAGAGGGGCTGGTGACAGGCCGGAGAGGGGCCGGCGTGGTCGCATGACCCAGGCGACCATCGCCTGGGGTCGCGTGACCTCATATGGCCCTTGCTGAGGTTGCGTGACCCCAAGCGTCCCTCGGTAGGAGTCACGCGACCCATGCCAAGGTTGCCCGAGATCGCGCGACCTCAGGCGGCCCTGCCTGGGTTGCTCGACCCCAAGCGGTCCTCGTCAGGCGCTTATCCGAGGTCGTGCGACCTCATACGACAGCCGCCGACGCTAGATCTAGGTTGCCGATGGCCGCCTGCCCTTCGCAGGGGTTTGAGTTGTTTATTTATTTATTTTTAAAAAAATAAGAAAAGTCTTTTATAAAAATAATTTTTCCAAACACAGTTTAGCTAAAATTGCTTTACAAAGGACTTTTAAGTTACAATTTAACAAACACAATTTGCATTTTGGAAAAATCTTGCATTTTCCCAAAGGTTCAACCAAACGCAGCTGATATATAGTGTGACAAATTACTTCCATGTATTGTAAAGCAAATTCGAAATTAGCCTTCAACATCAAATTTCACCTAAATTCCGGCAGAAATGCCATGCTTTCACCATAATATATGTATTAACCTTGTATTACCGAATAATAGACAACTTGGTAAATAATTTAAGATGAAAACAAAAATATCAAGTTATCCTCCCCCCCCAAAATAAAAAGAGGCCCTCGTAGGAATTCTATAATCCATAATTTAAATAACCTTTAATAGTCTGTCTTAAGCTAAATCTATTTCTTATAGTACCTCAAATTAGGGGTGATCGGTTCTTGATTTTAAGACCGAGGATCGAACCAGTTGGTCCTAGGACTGGGAATCAGTCATTCTGAATTTAGTTCGCATTTTACAATAAAAATATATATATGTACTCGGTTCGGTCCGAACCGATTTGGTTCCCCCTTGAAACTGGAAACCGGACCGCTCGGACACTGATTCCATTTTTGGGAACCGGGATCTAATCAATACTCCCGGGAACCGGACCAAATAGGCCGATCCAGTCCGGTTCGAGCGATTTCTTATTTGGGCAGTCCATTTTGCATACCTCTACCTCAAATCACATCACACCTATTCTTTTTCTATTAAAATATAGCGTGTCATTTTTGCTAGTGTAAAAAGAAAGAGGATTCAAATTGAATCTAATGTATAATTATTAGCTGAGCTCGCCTTATTCCTTCTTAATTACCCTAACTAGTTACAAATGATTGATTTTGGCTTAATTCTCCAAAAAAACTCACAATTTTAGATTTAATCCCAATTTAGCCCCGATCCTTTTTTTTGTCTTAAAAAAGTTACGAAATTTCACTATACTCGCGTTCAGAAATTGCCTCTGGTCTCTTCAAAATTATCAACATCAAGGCTGATTCACAATCAAAACCCACAGCTTTCACCAACACTCTCATCTTGGTACGGAACAACAACATCCTCTTGAAGAGACCATAGGCGAATTTTAGATGCAAGGTAAATTTGAAATAATTTTTTTTGTAAAGTTCGGGGCAAAATTCGAATTAGACTTAAAGTTGGAGGTTTTTTAAGAAAAAGGATAATGAAACAAATAGTCTCTAAACTTTGTCACAATTTGTAATGTGGTGCTCGAATTTTTAATTTGGCTCAATATGGTCCATGAGCTTTAGCCTAATGTTCAATATATTCCTCGAAATTTTAATTTCTTCGACGTGTTCCCTAGATTTTCGGAACATGTTCAATGTAGTATTTGAATTATATGAATATGTTCGATGCTATCCTTCCTTCAATTTAATATCATAGACAACATTGAATATTTTCATATAGCCCAAGTACTAAATTGAATATGTACAAAAATTCATGGACCAAACTGAACAAATCAAAAGTTCATAGATCACATTGCACATTATTGAGAGGGGCAATATTAAACAAATCAAAAAAATTCAGGAACCATACTGCATGTGGAACAAAATTCATGGACTATTTGTGTTTTTTTTTTTTTTTTTGTGTAACTCGAGTTCGTCGTCACGAAAAGAGAGAGAGAGAGAGAGAGAGTACGGTCGTCATCGTCAACAACCTCCGCATCACCTGAAACGCCGAAGGTCTCGAGCTCGAGTCGTCTTCGTCTCCCTCTCTATCTCTCTCTCCTCCTCACATCGCAACAAGCAGCAGCAGCAGCAGCAGATCATCGCACGCCCTCTTCGCACTCCTCCTCCTCACTCTCCTCCTCCGCCAGAGCCAGAGCGAGCGCGAGCGCGAGCGCGAGAGAGAAGGGAAGGGGAGAGAGAGGGAGAGGGTGTCTCGGAAATGGTGTCGTACGTGAACGCGCTGCTGTACGGGGTGGGGGGCATCGTGGTGGCGGGCATGGCGCTGCTGGTGGCCTTCCAGGAGCGCCTCGTGTACGTGCCGGTGGTGCCGGGCCTCACCAAGTCCTACCCCTTCACCCCCGCCCGCTTCCGCCTCCTCTACGAGGACGTCTGGCTCAGATCCCCCGACGGCGTCAACCTCCACGCCTGGTTCATCAAGCTCTTCCCCGACTCCCGCGGTCAGTCCCCCCTCATCCTCCTTCCCCTCTTCCCCCCGTCGCTCGAATCCGCGCCTCGCTTCGGCCTTCGATTCGATGCGAGATTCGCGCTCGAGCCTCCTCGAATTGAGCGTCGTAGGGTTTGGGCAATCGTGTGATGTGGATCGAATCGCGCGAAATTGGACCTTCCGTTAGCTCCTGCTGGAGCTCCGCGTTCGGCCGGGGTTTAACCGGATCTGGTCTCTTCGGTCGCTGGATTAGTCAGGTGGCGCTTTGGTGCATTCTAGTGATTGCTAATACGAGCTTCTTAATGAGGCTAAAAGAGTGCTTTTTTGAAGCTTCAAGGCTCGGTAGGGAATGATGCTTTGAGGATTTTTGTTTGTTTGGGGGGAACTGACGCAATTGGGCTCGCGATCAACTGTTTGATCGAATTATCGACGGACACGTCGTGATTTGAGATGGATTACTGCGCTTTCTTTGCTGAAAGTACTGAATTGCCGCTGAACAGAACATGCGGCTGCCGTGTTTGCACCTTTTGCGGGCGTAATCATTTCTCCATTGGTTTTGGCGTGCTTTGAATGCCGCTGTTTTGCTACTGTAACCTCTTTCATAATCCGGATTTCGACGTGCTTACCTCTTGCGGGTTGTCGTCTGTTTTGCAGGTCCGACTGTTCTGTTTTTCCAAGAGAATGCTGGAAGTATCCTTATTGTCTGCGTCTACACTCAATCGTTACTGTTTGTGCTTGTTAGTTGGCCCTAGATATGAATCATCCAGCTCTCGGTCATGCTTGCTTATGATCCAGCTTGCTTCTATTGCTATTTAGTATCCTTAACATTTACATCAACAGATATTGCTCATCGTCTTGAAATGGTTCGCATAATGTTGCAGAAGTTGCAGTGCAATGTGTTTATGCTTTCGTATCGAGGGTATCTATCTCCTTTTTCATAAAGCAAGTTCAAGTTACATTTGGATTTGAAATACCTGGTGGCTTTCATATTTTTTTCTTCCATTTAATTGAGTATGTCCCGGTGCCTTGCAGATATGGGGCGAGTGATGGCTATCCTTCTCAGCATGGCATCACACTAGATGCTCAGGTGTCGTAATCTATTATTTGTTTACCTATTAGATTTTTCCAAATATCGATTGTCATTATTCAATTTGTTTGGTTAGGCTGCATTGGATCATCTTCGTGCAAGGACTGACATTGATACCTCCAGGATAGTTGTATTTGGAAGGTCACTTGGAGGAGCAGTTGGAGCAGTTCTTACAAAAAACAACCCCGATAAGGTATAGGTTTGGTTTTCTCTTCTCATTCTTTTACTCTCTTTTTTACATTTTTTTCCTTTTTGAAGCTGGCTGTAAGGACATTTAGATTATAGACCTTTTTTTCCTGTGAATTTAGTACTTTATAAGCTGAGTTGTGTATGAGGAAGGATGTTGGTGTAAATGACATCACTCCGAGAGAGATGCATAAGAACCATACTCGATTAAGTAAGGTATTAATGGAGCGGGTGTATGTTTAGTGGTGAGAATGTGAAGGGGGAATGTGGTGGTCCAAGCAGTCGAAGTTGAGTTTAAGGGGTTAATGGATAGCAGATTTTCTCTTGTCCATTGCACTTGATGCTTTTTCTTGTTTAACGTCTTTTATCTTGATTTAAATCTCTCCGCTGTACATGGTATGTTCTCGAGTTTGCACCTGATGAACCTTTTCAAATTTCTTTTTGTTGAATTGCCGAGTCTAACAATTTATTCCTTCAAATTTCCGCTATTCATACAGGAAACCCAAAGGAAAAACAGGGACCGATCATCTCCTTTTTACTTCCGTACTGTTAAGATTTAGATATAAGGCTTGTCATAGATAAGAATCGGGTTACCTGCTTCCTGCCTATGTGCATCTGATTGCTAGGTTGTCCTGAATATCCGACGGACAAGAATAGGCTTTTTTTTTTCCTGTAAATCGCATTGTGTTTATAGATATATCTCTCTCATCTAATTGGCCGTTCTTACAGAAACGGCGTTTCCTGGTTATACATGTTTAATTTCACATATTGATGGGTGGGGACATCATCTTTTTGCTACCCTGTTTTTGTCAGGTTGCTGCTATAATATTGGAGAACACTTTCACATCCATTCTAGACATGGCTGGAGTTCTACTGCCCTTTTTAAAGTGGTTCATTGGAAAAAGTACTTCTAGAGGCCTTCAAATTCTTAACATTCTCGTGCGATCTCCATGGAATACAATTGACGTCGTTGGTCAGGTTAGTTGCATGCTGGAAGTATGTCTTTTTCTTTTCTTCTTCTTCCAGGCGATTCTACTTATGCTGCTTGAAGAAAGCACCGAAAGGGGTGAAATTGCATTTATTTGATCCGTGTTTCGTTTTTGGGAAGCTCATCAAACCTTTTGGAGTTTATTGAAAATTTATGGACACACTTGCTATTCAAAATCTTCTTAACCCCCTTTTAGAGGTAGAGTTTCGACCTCTTTACCTAGAGGGTTGATTCCTTTTGTGTCAAAAGGCCCGATCCCTCAACTGTTGATACTTGATTTTCTATTGATATATGAATTGAAGATAGATCTTGATCTAATCTGCTTTAATTACTATGAAATTAGAAATTGTAATAGATGTTTATCCATTACATCTATGACTATGAAATGTGAATGGAATGCATAAAGTGGAGCTGAACCCTAACCCTTACTTCAAAAGGGGTTATCTTTTATGGGGATAAAAAGGAGATTTTAAAAAGTGGGGGTTTCGGTCGATTTTTAATTGAAGTATGTTGAGTGCCTGTGACATTTAATACTATTTTGCTGTGGGACTATTGGTATATGTGTCGAGCTTTTTTCTGCTAATATCAAAGGTAATGGAGCACCTGGTACTCATTAAATTTAGAGGTGGGTTCATTTCTGGGCATTGCCAGTGTGTTGCTCATTTTGGAGAAACATGTTTACATGGATTAACTTATATTTTCTAGAATGGTGCCTCTTTGCCAATAATGTCAGTTTGCATTTAATAAGATCATAGTCCAAAATATCGATCAGGTTCTTGTAGCTACTTGCTAATTCATGCAATGTGTCTTACAATGAACAATTTTGTGTTTAGTTTGTCTGAGCATTGCAGAGCGTTTCTTGTTAGTTTCAAATCCTCGCTTGGTAATTTCTTATATAATGTTTAATTTCAGATTAAACAGCCAATCCTTTTCCTCTCTGGATTGCAAGATGAGATGGTCCCCCCATTACATATGCAATTGCTGTATGCCAAGGCAGCCGCTCATAACAGGCAATGCGTTTTCGTGGAATTTCCAACTGGAATGCATATGGATACTTGGTTGTCAGGTGGAGATCGCTACTGGAGAACTTTGCAACTGTTCCTTGAACAGCATGTTCCAGAGAAGAAAGAAGAAAAACAGTCATCTCAAAATGAAAATTTTTCAGGTAAGGGAAGCCTGAAGTCACTAATGTGACACCTTGTTGCTTTTTGTTGATGAACCGTGGATGCAGAATACCTTTCTTCTTTATCAGGTAGTTTCATTAGTGTTGTATTTGCATTCTTCAACACTGGATGACAGCCATCCATTTCGGAAAACCTGTAGTTAATTTGCGTTTGGGGTGTTCATTTGTGACAAGGTTTTCTCTGTTGACATTCTTTGCACTTCTTTACACATGTCTCTGAATTGCAACTGCATTAGGCAATGTGACAGAGAGGTTCTCCTTCTTTTTCCACACCCTTTTATTTGGGCAAGAATTAGGTGCTGCTGGCTAGGTAACGCTATTGTATTGGTGGTTTTGTTGTACATTTTTCTGCACTCAATCTCACAATATAATTTGCGCTTAACCATCTCTCTCTTCTTCTCATTTAATTAGCCGGTCCACCACCTTCTAGCTCTCTCTCTCTACACATGAAGGAGACTGAAAAGTTGCACGTCTCTCTCTCCTCTTTTTTCTTTTTCATGGCTAAGAATCTCTCTCATGCCCTTCCTCCTTCCTCTTTATCTTCAACTTTTCTTCGTTTTCTTTTTCTCTTTCTTCTTCTCATGGCCATGGCTGAGCTTTGTAGCAGAGCTTGCGCGGCTATGGCCACTAGCTAGGGCTGAGCTCTGCTACAGAGCTCCCGTGGCCATGGCCGCGTTGGTTGCCATGGCCATGGACAAGCTTTGCTACAAAGCTTGCAGGGCTGGCCGTGGGCACGAGGCCTACCTCGCACTGCTCACGCCAATTGTGAGCAAGCGCAAAATAATGTTGAGTCAACTGATCAGAGTTGAGCGGCAGCTAATTTTAGTCCTGTTTTTTTTCCTTTTTCGATCTTTTCTTGTGAATATTGACAGTGACAACATACACTAATTCTTTCTGCCACTTGACAGATTTTGATGCTACTTAAGCTGCTGAGTACTTGACGTCCTAAATCCCAACGTTTTTCAATCTCCAATGCTGCAGCAATAGTGGTATGCATAGTCGGGGGGGCCCCATTGCTGCTTGGACAGGACTGATGTTATTGAGGAGGATGGGTTTTAGCTAAACCTTTCTATTCCCCTTGTGGGTGGAGACCAATAGGAATTGCTAAGTGTTATGAAGTACCTGAACTGAAATCATAGGATTACTGATGCAAATATTGATCATTCCTGCAGTATGAAAGGCTTTTTCCCAACCGTGTAACTTAGCAGTGATTTGTCTAACACATTTGACTGTTTAACTAGAAGTGCTGCCATTGATTTTGCCAGAACTTTTATTTGGTCCCGAAGGAAGTTCGTTCCTTGGTAAGGGAGGTCGAAGAGGCTTTCCCTAATCATCTCTTTCTGTGGTATGATGGTGAAATGATGCGGCGCATGAGAAATCGATGCGTAACACAGCATTTTAACACAAGTTTTCCCTAATCATCTCTCCAGTAATTTGATGAAGTTTTTTTCTCCTGGAAACAGAAAGTTTCCTTTCGCTTCAAGTGAATGAAGGCTTTGGCCGCTTTTGGCCGTTGCCTTATCAAATTCCTGAAGTCCTCAGGAGAGTGATCGAGTGCTCTTGCGAGCATCATCACTACGACCGGCATAGCATCTCTGTTGTCGCCATCTCATTCAATCGATCATTCTTAAACCACCGGTGTCATCGAGTAGCAACCTTTTGTGTGCCTCATTCGTGTCCTTTCCTTCCCTGATGGACATGTCTCGGCTTTTTGCACGCCAAATCCATTGCGCTATGGAGTCGCCTCCGAAGTCCTGAGCTCGAACAAGCGGTTCATTAGCAAAACCAATCTCCCCATAATTTTTGCTCCGGTGTCGTACGTCGAAGTCACGTTGTCCTCCGCCAGAGGAGGAGATCCATCTCCAAAAGAGGAAATCGGATCGTCAAAATAGTAGCCATTACACCTTTAGAATTCTTCCCTGGAAGTTAGGGCAGAGGAAGCGAGCCCCACGTAGCCTCCTAGTTAGCTAATTGTATTCCTGGCATTTTCCACGTAATAAAAATGGTTAATAAATAATAATAATGATAGTGATAATTATGGAGAATCATCGCTCCCGTAATTCAAAAAAAAATGTTCCATATTTTCAATGTTATAATTCACTAATTTAAGTTCAGGGATAATAATAGATATTTTTATATAGTTTATGAATTAATTTGAGTTTTTATAAAAAATTTAATGATTATATTAAATATATTAAAAATTCAAAGACGATATTATGTTGAGCTAAATTTTATGAATAATATTAGATAAATTAAAATTTTGGAAATCATTTTATACATCAAATCAAAATTGAGAGGTCGTTCGTATTAGATTTTCAAACTCGCGATTGCCCTTTAATTTTTCAGAAAAAGAGTAGAAAGGATTGGGCGGGACCCACAGAAAGTCTTGTCATGGACCCCACTACTCCTCCCCTTCCCCCTCCTCTTTTCTCGATGCATGATGCATTATAATATGTGAACCCGCAGATTGTGTGTGGCCCGGGAAAACCACCATGCGTCGTCCCCGTCGCTCCTCCCCCAACCCCCAGCCGGCTGCGATCCAGTGCGCACGCCAAGAGCAGCTCCCCCTTCGCACTCCAACGCATCGAACGCCGCCACGTGTTAGATTTCAGCCTTTTCGCCCGAGCGCAGCGGATCAAAAGCTACTCCCGGAAGCAGGCAGCAGCAGCTCCACAATTCGGGGTGGTTTTTTTTTTTTTTGTCAATATTTTTTACCGCTAAAACAAAAAGGGGGAAATTCCTTATTTATAGCCCCCCCCAATTTCCACCTCATCATCTCTTCGAGAACATCCCCAATCTCTCTTTCTCCCTCCTCTGCGCACTGAACAAAATGCTCGGTTTCTGCTCCCCTCCAGCCTCCTCCTCTCCCTAATCTCCGCCCTCCGCCGCCTCCCTGACCCCGCGTCGGCCCTCACGCCGCCGCCGCCCTCCTCCGCTGCCGCCGCCGCTTCTCCTTCTCCGGCGGTGCAGATTCGTGACCCCCCGGAAATCGGCTTGCTGGGGTTTTGAGTTTCCCTTCTCCGGTGGGGGAGGGGGGAGCGAGTGGGGGGTGGGGATTTCTCGATTCGGATTCGAGGGGCGTCGAGATGGACGGAGGGGGGCAGTACAACCCCAGGACGGTGGAGGAGGTTTTCCGGGACTTCAAGGGTCGCAGGGCCGGCATGATCAAAGCATTGACCACTGGTCTCTCTCTCTCTCGCCCTTTTCTCTCTCGATACCGTTCGTCCCTCTTCTTTCCCCCCTCCTCCCCTTCTGTTTTCCTCTCTCGCTGTAGCTCGAGTGAAAGATTTTGCGGACTTGGGTGTTCTTGATTCGGTTTCGCTTCTCGACGCTGAGCCGTGCTTTTTTTTTTTTTTGTTGCAGATGTTGAAGAATTCTATCAGCAGTGCGATCCCGGTTAGGGTTTTTACTGTTATTTCGGTTCTTCTTTCTTTTTCGGTCGAATGCCGCGGCTGCTCTGCGGGGGTGTTGAATTTCGCCTTGGCATTTGCATGGTTTTAGTAGATAGTTTTAGCTTTGCTCTTGCTCTGGCCCTGATTTCTTGTTTCGGGTCAGTTCGTTAGTCATCATTTTGATTCGCTCAGTTTGTTTGCATGATGATGTGAAGTATGACTGGTCAACGTTGGAGATTTGTGGGTTTTCTTCTTGTTTTGGGTTAAACTTGGAATCAGTCTAATTTCAGCAGTATTTGGTTTCCGTGACTGTAAGTACGTCCCTCTTGCGCCGGTGGAAGTTTTGCTTGTGAATTTATAGAGGACAGGTGCTTCCGCAGCTCATTAAGGTGCTAAAGTAGGCATCTTCTTGGCTTATGGTTGGCGCTTGGTGGCTTTTTCTTTACTTGCTTTGATTACAAGTAGTTGTTTGTCTTTGTTTTCTAGTTTTCCTTTTGTCCTTTCTCGTGAATGTTTCATGCATGAATGCCCTATGCTCCTGAATATATCACACACGCTCTTCGTAATTGTCATGTTCAACTTTTTATTAATGTCATAATTGCCTTTCCCCTCAACCAGTGCACTTAATGTGGTGGGTTAATGTTAATTGTCACTTCGAGTTTCCTAGAGGATTAGGAATGTTTAATGGAGTAATTTTTATCTGGCATCCATCTGTGGGAATGTTTCGTGCACATTAAGTGGCAAGAAGCTCTTATTGGAGTTGTTATGAAGTTTGTGGTTCCAAGTTCCCACAATTTAAATCATGTCGTGTGGAATTTGCCCTAGTTCCAGACTATGATTCTCCATCTGTTTGTCAATATTAAATGCACTTAGGAGTATGCTTTTTTTCATTGGAAAAAAGCTCGGGTTGACAATAGGTTCTGTTGGGTACTGTAATTTCTTTTATGCTAACATATAATGCAAAGCCTTCAGAAGGGCATTTAAGATCTGGAAGTTTACTTCCATGCCCTGCTTTGTTTGTTTTCTCTCTTACTTCCCTCTTGCTTGTTATGGAGTTTCTATCTTTAAGTACTTACTTATCTTCAGCATTTTCCTTATTTAGAGACCAAAAAGTAAAGTAGAGGCTACTGTTGCTGTTAGCCATCACATCTAATGTGCCTTCTGCATAACTGTGCACATCTACATTTTGGTTTTGAGAGCAACTATGTCAGTTAAATCTTCTCTCTGTTCACTTGGAGGAATTAAGTTCCCTCTCTTTCGTAAATGATACTATTCTATGTACGTTATTGCAGCATTTCACTTTCATGCATGAGATATGCTGTAAAGTCGAAATGCTGTTAAGATTTCATTTTGCTTGTAGAACATCCTAATGGTGGGAACAAAAGGCTCCACTAATGTTCTTGTTGTTGATGTTGCTGGAGCACCCTTGTTGATACACATAAATGAGTATGGCCTGCACATCTGCATTTCTCTTAGTGGCTGTCGATGCTTCGCACAACTCACTTCTACATATTTATACCAGAGAAAGAAAACCTCTGTCTCTATGGGTTCCCCAATGAGCAGTGGGAAGTTAATTTGCCAGCAGAAGAAGTGCCACCGGAGCTCCCTGAGCCTGCTCTGGGTATTAATTTTGCAAGGGATGGCATGCAGGAAAAGGACTGGTTATCTTTGGTTGCTGTGCACAGCGATGCTTGGTTACTTGCTGTGGCTTTCTATTTTGGTGCCAGATTTGGCTTTGACAAAACTGACAGGTACCTCAATTATCTTAGTAGTAGAAAAGCGAGTCGCAGTTTTTTTTTATTTTGCTTCTTATCCGAGGGAAATTTTGATGCAGGAAACGTCTGTTTAATATGATTAATGACCTTCCTACCATATTTGAAGTCGTTACTGGAACTGCAAAGAAACAGTCAAAGGAGAAGTCATCTGTTTCAAATAGCAGCAACAAATCCAAGTCAATCTCAAAAGGGGGGGTAAGTGGCTCTGCTTCTAGATGTCACTGTTTATGTTCTTCTTGTACTATGATGCAAAAGATTTATTAGGCTTGATTCTGATGATTGTTGGCTTGATTGAATATTTCAATAGCATTCTGAATTAGCTCAGGTAATATGGTGCCTGCTGTTTCAAGCTAGCTCTTAATTGATCTGCACAGAAGTCATATATATTAATGAGCTCAAGTAGTCGGGATTAATTTGATCGGTGGATGTCTTATGGAGCCATACCTTCAAAGTGTGAACCCCTTGACCTAGGGTTTGTCGACTATGTTATTTTAGTCTCATGTTAGACAAGTCTCCGGGCAATCCATTTTGGCTTCTTGTGTTTTGTTCTCTTCAGTTTCTTGGTTTGAAGATGTCAAAGGGAATGCTACATGAGGACCATATTCCTTACTACGGAATTTTTCATTTGATACATTCATTAAAATCATACTATCCATCATGCATTTGTCAGCTCAATGTGTGACCTGTTACCTTGCATTTGCTCTGTTTTGGAACACGGAGTAGTCGTTTGTTATGTCTTATCTTGTTGAATTCACCGTCTCTTCTCCGTTTGACAGCAGAGAGCGTCAGAATCCGGAAAGTTTTCGAAGCCAGTGCAGGCAAAGGATGAGGAGGAGGTTGTGGATGAGGAAGATGAGGAGGAGCACGGGGATACCTTGTGCGGGGCATGCGGAGAGAATTATGCCGCGGACGAGTTTTGGATATGTTGCGATATGTGTGAGAAGTGGTTCCACGGGAAGTGCGTGAAAATTACTCCCGCCAGGGCTGAGCACATCAAGCAATACAAGTGCCCTGCGTGCAGCAACAAGAGAGCACGGCCTTGACACGATGGACATCGCACGGAATCTTTCACAACGTCGTGTTGATTTGGGCAAGGCTAACTGTTTAGGGTTCTTATGTTTGTGTCCTGTAACGTACATTATTTGCATTGGATACTCGGGCCTCGGATCTCGTCATGTTGGATATGTTCATATATGGCAATTCGTGGGCCTTCATCTGTTTATTACGTTGCACGTGTAGTACTTTCAACTCTCTGGGTTAATTTGGCTTAGTGATAGCCTTCTTCTACTTTGTTTTCAACCGCGATCTTTCTGATCTCGTATAATTAGTGCGAGGTGTTACGGTCGCTGATGCCTCAATCGATCGTCATCCTCAGCTTCGAAATGTGAACGATGCATGGCGTTCACACAGTTTGCTTATGGTCAATGAGTTATCAGTAATTTTTCTGGGAGCCTATGATTTATCACTAGGAAAAAATGACACAAATGACTATAATGGCCTAATATGCAATATCGTCTATGAATTTTTAATTTGTTTAATATGATCATTGAATTTTAGCCTAATGTGCAGTGTCACCCATGAACTTTTAATTCAATTTAGTCTTTGGACCATAGAAAAATGTTCAATGTTATCCCTAAACTTAAATTAACAAATAATAACATTGAATTTTTTTCATATAGTTTAGAAATTAAATTGAACATTTACCAAAAGTTTAGGGAATATATCGAATAAATTAAAAATTCGGGAATGACATTACACATTGGGCTAAATTTTAGGAACCATTTTGAATAAATTAAAAGTTCAATGATAGTATTACACATTTGACCAACCATTTGTATCGTAATTCCTTATCAGTTTTGATTAACCGAGATTGAACGCAACCTTTAAGATCTTGTATAAGATCATCAGATCCATGAAAGACCCAAAAGCAGGGGGAAATTATTATACTCAAATCTATTGCATGATCTCGTAAAATTCTTACATCAGGTTGTTGTAGTATATTCATATGATGGTCATTTCAGCAACGTGAAATTTATAGTTTAGTGCTGATGTCAATGGCTTCTGCGATTGCACAGTTGTTTTTGACTCTTTCTCCTGACTGCTGTTTTTTCTGTTTTCTCTCTCTTTGTTCTTCCTTCCCTATCCCCCAAAACAAGGGCAGCTGACTAGTCATACGACACACCGTTGAAAAGTCAAACTCGGACAGCCATGGAAGCTTCCGACCTTTCCTCAGAACCTCCGAACCCACAAAAGTCTTCACAGCGACACAGAGAATGACCCGTCATCTCCCGGTCCTCCTTCTTGGCCAAGATTGTTTCTTTTCCACGATGAGCAATAAGATTCTGAGCAAAAAGATCAGCTAGAGAGAGAGAGAGAGAGAGAGAGAGAGAGGAGATGGAGATCAAGAAGCTCTCGGAGGCGGTCCAGAACGGCGATCTGTCGGCCCTCTTGGACCTGCTCGAGCAAGAACCTCTCGTTCTCGACAAGATCATCGTCCTCGGCTTCTCCGAGACGCCCCTCCACGTGGCCTCCGAGCTCGGCCACGCCGACCTCGTCCGGGAGCTGCTGAGCCGCGCCCCCGGGCTCGCCTCCGAGCTGGACTCCCGGGGCAACTCGCCGCTCCACCTGGCCGCCGCCAAGGGCCACGGCGAGATCGTGGGCCAGCTCCTCTCCGCGGACCCGGCGGCGGCGTCGGTGAGGAACCTCGACGGGAGGGCGCCGATCCACGTGGCGGCTGTCAAGGGCCGAGTCGACGCGGTGCGCCGGATGATTGGCGCCGGCGGGACCGAGTCGGCTCGCGAGCTGACCGACAGGGACGAGACGGCGCTGCACCTGGCGGTGGCGAACGGGAAATTGGAGGTGGTGAGGGAGGTGGTCGGGGCGGTGGGCGGAAGAGACAGGGCTGAGCTGTTGAATTGGAGGGATTGCGACGGGAATTGCATCTTGCACATCGCCGTCGCCATGAAGCAAACTGAGGTAAAGATATTACAGATCGATGCATTAAACGAATTCTGTAACGGGTTAAAGTTGAGATTTTGCTTGTAACATGCTTAACAACTGCCTCGGATTGTCCGTAGTTACACATGAAAATCATCGAAATCATTCGGAGGTGAAACTTGTTCCTGCTGATATTGATAATTACAGAAAATATGAACTTGCCTTGTGTTGATAAAGAGACGAACTCGATGCGTGTGTGATTGTACATGCTAGTGCTTGAACAAGAATTCTGAAGTTCTGGCTTGCTAATATGTTTGCCTAAACCATTTCATTGTATGACAGAAACTTATCGGCTGTGATCTTTGCAGACCATAAAATTCTTGCTTGCCATCCCCGATGTAAACGTAAACCTGATGAACAAGAACGGCTCGACCCCACTAGATGTGCTCAAGCAGTCTCCCAGGGACCTCCAGGACATGGAAATCGAAGACTCTCTTCTAAATGAAAGAGCTTTGAGATCCAAGTCAATCTACCCATTTGACCGCGACCCAGACCAGACACAGATCGCTCAGCTTTCACGTGAAGCTCCGACTTCGCCGTTACTCGTTGTGCAAAAGACCCCTTTGAAGAATAGACCGCCTGCAAGGAAAAAGGAAAACCAGATCAGCAGCCATAGATCCTCCCTCATGGTGGTTGCGTCGCTGATTGGCACCGTGGCCTTCCAGGCTGCCATCACCCCTCCGGGAGGTGTGTGGCAGAACGATCTCACCGAGGATGAGAATGGCCAACCCGTCAAGGAGCCTCATTATGCAGGTATTAGCTACTCTCTGTCGTGCGATGATCAAATTGGGTTGTATGTAAACACTCGTGCCATGTTAGCAAATCCTTCTTTTTCTAAAAGGATTAGGTTGCTGTAGTTAGTTCACTCGATGCCGATGTTAAATTGTCATACGCGAACAAGAAACTGATATCTAGGCCTTACAATTGCATGTTAAGAGGTTGTGAGAACATGCTAAAAAGGACATATATTCCTGTCTGTGATTAATTCTGTTTCTTATGTTTCGATGGACACTCCATGATCCACTATGCAGGGACTTCTATAATGGCCCACACCCAAAGTCAAGAGTACGGGCTCCTCTTCATCTTCAACACCATCTCCTTCCTCTCGTCCCTGAGCATCATCCTCCTGCTGGTGAGCGGGCTGCCCATAAAGCGGCGCCGCTATATGTGGGTGCAGATGGTGACCATGTGGATCGCCATGACCGCGCAGGTGATCACCTACTTCCTCGCGCTGAGGCAAATGTCGCCGGACAAAACCGACTCCGAATTGTTCCCCGTGCTGAAGGACGTGACGGAGGTAGCGGTGCTCGCCTGGTTCTGCCTGATGGGGGTGGTGTTCTTCGGGAACCTCGCGAGGTTGGGCCTGTATTACCTGAGGAAGAAGGGGTATATCAAGAAGAAGAAGAAGAGAGAGGAGGAGGCAAGGGCTCTACCAGATGATCCAGGTGAAGATGAAATGTTTTGAGACTGAGCGAGTTATATTCATGGATATGTACATAGTGAGTAATTCTGCAATTTTCTGATTCTTTGGTGTCTCCTTGATACAAAAGGAATCATGTAGAGTTTTTTTTCCCTCTTCTCTGTCTTCCTCAAAAGTCACCACTTCTGCATTGTTTGTTGTTTGTACTTTTGTCATCTTATACTAATATAAAGAACTTTATGTTAACCTGTTTGCTTTTTCTGTGCTTTCTAATTTCCGGTTATCTTGACATGCTTGCTCCCCAAAGTTGCAGGCTTTGCTACTATGATGTCTTAACAAGTCGACAGCAACTCCGAAAATATGAGAAACTACGGCGTAGACTCATCGTATGTACGATGTAGTGAACTGAAACTATCTGGCTGTCATTCTCTTCGCTGTATCGTCTCAGTTTGAAGCTTAACATGAGCGATTACTGGCGATATAGTTAGCCATTTAGTACGCAACATAACACGATTCAAATCGAGCAGAGACTTACAATATGTTGAGCCTATAAGTGCGTGTTGTTCCTTCTCAATCTCATTGCTACAACACTTTCTCCTCCGTTCTTGTCGGCTTGATACGTGTTTGGTCATCGAAGTGAGTTATAGTTTCAGCATACGAAATACTAAGTCCTCTCTTCTGGACCATATGAATAAGAAGGAAATCCCATCCCTCATTTCTGGAGTAGAATCCTTCAATCAGTGATGTATTTCAAATGCCTAACAGCTTGAGCGAAGTCGCATTGCAATGTCAAAGTATATTATATACAAAATAGATGGATATCAATAGGTTTTGTGATGATCTTGATCCACATGACATCATGAATAGTATTTGTGTCGTTACACGACGTTGAAAACATACTGAGAGTAATATAACTTGAAAACTTGGTCTGTCTGTTTTAAAGATTGGCCTTTTCCACTAGTGTGCTGAGCTTGTGGCTTGGCTCAATAATTAATTTTTTGGACTTTCACTCATTTGGTATGCTAAAACTGATCGATCAACAAAAAATCATTTACAGTAAAAATAAAATTATTCATATTTAGATTTAGGAAAATTAATTTCCCAATCTGGAAAGGGGAAACATTTTTTGGGAAAATGATCTCCCGGCCTTTGTGGACCCAAGCCCGGGTGCCGGGCATCAGGCATGGGCACAAGGGCCTTAGGCCCAACCTCGATGGATCTGAGCTCGATTGCGGGTACTTAGGAACGAGCTTTAGCATCGATGGCCACGATGGATTCGGGCTCGGCTGCAGTGACCTAGAAATGAGCTTTAGATTTTAGCGTCGACATGTATTACGTAGTCATATTTTGGAAAATAATTTTAAACTTTTTTAAAGAGAAAATCATTTAAAGTTTGCCTGGATAAGAAATCACAAAGTGCCATGATCGCATTTTTCTTACCCCTTTTCATTTTGTGCGCATGTAATAGTAAAACACGTGTCCCTTCGTTGCCGATAAGAAAGAAGCGACACCCCAGATACGAATGAAACCGGCTAAATTCCTAGGATACCCCCGCGAGTCTCATTTGGGAAAATTTCAATTAAGGCCCCAAGTGTGGTCAAATTCTCAAAAGAGGGCTCAAAGTGAATATAGTGTCAAATAAGGGCCTGAAGTGCCTAATCAGTCTCAAATAAGGACCCGAAGTGCTCAAAAAGTCTCGAAATAAGGGCTGAGTCGTGGTAGACCAAAATGTCCAGCCGGCCGTGAGAATGTTACTATTAGGCATCGAACAGTAAAAAATTATTTTTTTTTATTTTTTCTTTTTGTTTTTTTTCTTTTCCTTTTCCTTTTCTTTTTTTTTTTCTTCTCTTCCTCCGCCGCCCATAGCCGGGGCCGGCGGAGGTCGCCGCCGCGGGTGAGGGCCTCGCCACTGGGCAGGTGAGGGTCGGCCTTGCCGCGTCTTCGGCGAGGTCGAGCCTCGCCAGATTCGGCGAGGGCTCGGCCGCCGCCGGCCGGCGAGCTCGACCTCGCCGGCCTCGGGCGAGGCCGGTCTCGCACTCAGTAACGGCAAGACAGGCCTCGCCCGACGCCGGTGAGGTCGAGCCCTCTCTAGATCTAGCGAGGCTCGACCTCGCCGGCGTCGGCGAGGTCTGGCCTCGCTTGCAACGAGCAAGGCTCGGCCTCGCCGACGCCGGGCGAGGTCGAGCCTCGCCGCCCGGCGAGGGCTCGGCCTCGCCGGCAGGCTGCGCCGGTCTCGCTACCGGCAAGGCAGGCCCGCTCGAAGCCGTCGAAAAAAGAAAAAAAAAAGGAAAAAATAAATAAATAAAATTTTTACTGTTCCGGTGCCGGAATAGTAACATTCTCGCCTGCCAGCGGGCATTTTGGCCGGCCGGCTACTCAAGCCCTTATTTGAGACTTTTTGGGCACTTCGGGTCCTTATTTGAGACTGATTGGGTACTTCAAGCCCTTATTTGACACTATGTTCACTTTGGGCCCTCTTTTGAGAATTTGACCCCATTTGGGGTCCTTAATTGAAATTTTTCCTTCATTTTTTAATCCAATTTTCCGAAACGATAAATCCAAAAAACAAAAAAATTAAAATAAAATAAAATAAAAAAAAAAAAAAGCAAACACACAAAATGCAGAAAATTCAACACAGACCACCGAGGAACCAGCACAACCCCCCACTTCTCACTTCAAAACCCGACCCCCGTTCCTCCCACCCTTTCACGCCGCCGCCGCCGCCACCGCCGCCGCCCCCACGTCTCCACAGCCGCCTCCGCCTCCGCCTCCGCCGCCGCTCCTCCTCCTCCTCTCGACGCGGAAGCAATGGCGTCGGCGTCCTCCATGATGATTTCCTACTCTCCCTCCTCCCTAACCCCGAACCCTAGGCGCTTCCCCGTCGGCCGACAGCGCCTCGCCGTGTCCTGCGCCTCAACCGGCGACCCCGCCCCCTCCAACCACACCCCTCCCGCGCCGTCGCCCCCTCCTTCGGCGACGGCCACGATCCACAACATCCGGGACGAGGCCCGCCGCCACCGCCAGGCCCACGCCTTCTCCGCCAAGTACGTCCCTTTCGGCTGCGACTTCACCGCCTCCGAGTCCTACTCGCTCGACGAGATCGTCTACCGGAGCCGCTCCGGCGGCCTGCTCGACGTGCAGCACGACATGGACGCCCTCAAGAAGTTCGACGGCGCGTACTGGAGGAACCTCTTCGACTCGCGCGTGGGCAAGACCACGTGGCCCTACGGCTCGGGCGTCTGGAGCAAGAAGGAATGGGTGTTGCCCGAGATCGACTCCGACCACATCGTCTCGGCCTTCGAAGGCAATTCCAACCTCTTCTGGGCTGAGCGTTACGGCAAACAGTTTGTGGGCATGGACGATTTGTGGGTCAAGCATTGTGGGATTAGCCATACCGGTAGTTTCAAGGATCTGGGCATGACCGTTCTGGTCTCTCAGGTTAATAGGCTATGCAAGATGGACCGGCCGCTGGTTGGTGTTGGGTGTGCGTCGACTGGGGACACTTCGGCTGCGCTCTCGGCCTACTGTGCAGCTGCGGGCATTCCGTCGATCGTTTTCTTGCCCGCGGATAAAATTTCGATGGCTCAGTTGGTGCAGCCCATCGCGAATGGGGCTTTCGTGTTGAGCATTGATACCGATTTCGACGGGTGTATGAAGTTGATTAGGGAAGTCACGGCAGAATTGCCGATATATTTAGCCAATTCATTGAACAGCTTGAGGCTCGAAGGGCAAAAGACTGCCGCGATCGAGATACTGCAGCAGTTTGATTGGGAGGTGCCTGATTGGGTCATCGTCCCGGGTGGGAACTTGGGGAATATCTATGCATTCTACAAAGGTTTCAAAATGTGCCATGAATTGGGTCTGGTTGATCGGATCCCAAGGCTTGTTTGTGCTCAGGCTGCGAATGCTAATCCACTCTACTTATATTATAAGGCTGGTTGGAAGGATTTTAAGGCAGTGAAGGCGAACACCACATTTGCGTCTGCTATACAGATTGGTGACCCTGTTTCCATCGACAGAGCCGTTTATGCTTTGAAGAACTCGAATGGTATTGTTGAGGAGGCAACGGAAGAGGAGTTGATGGATGCTATGGCACAAGCAGATTCGACCGGAATGTTCATATGTCCTCACACTGGTGTCGCATTGACGGCGCTGATCAAGCTCAGGAATAGTGGGGTCATTGCGCCCACAGATAGGACAGTTGTGGTTAGCACTGCCCACGGATTGAAGTTTACGCAGTCCAAAATTGATTACCATTCCAAAGGCATCCCTGACATGGCTTGCCGGTATGCCAATCCTCCAGTGCAAGTGAAGGCAGATTTTGGGTCAGTCATGGATGTTTTGCAGGATTACTTGAAAAAGTATTAAGGTGTTGCTTTTTGCTTAACTGCTTGTATCTTAAGTTATGCAATGTTTTTATCTCCATGGTTAGCATGTAAAACTGTTAACGCAATTTGTCATTTAGGGTGCTATTTTTTCAATAACCATTTGGTGAGTGGAGATTATTGAAATCCAGCAGTATTTTCGGAACGTCCTCAGAACTAGTCGGAGCTTATGATCTGTGCATTTGGTTTGGTCACATTACTGCATGCCTGTGGTGGTTGCATATACCATTCTGGTGCCAATAACTCTTTTTAGATTATGTTGAAGTTGAATGGTTGGGGTCCTACAAAATACTCTAAACGGTATGTAGATCAACTTGAGAAAGGGAAAGGGACCATATGATAACTCTATTTGGAGCGCTTTGTTATTAGGACACGGAGTTCTCTCTGCACTTTCTGAGAAAGAACATGCTTTGTGTCTAACAGCCTTGTTTCTTGTTTATTGAGAACCAAAGTTAGTTGACAATGAAACATCCATCCCTTCTCTTCTCTTCTCCTCTTCTCTTCTCCTCTCCTCTCTTCCCCTACATACTTCCCCCAGAAATTTGGGGGTGGGGGGCCTGAAGCAAAAAGGGGTAGAAGAAAAGAGTAACATGCATATGGAGTCATGCATCAATTTGAATTCTGCCGAGAGATCGAGAGATCATAGGGGTTGAGTGATGGGGGTACAAATCACGTGTCACACATGAGAAATGGTTGGATGGGGCTTTTGTCTCTCAATATCCTCTCAGACACCTTTAGACTAGGAATGACCTGAGGGAAGTTGAATTTTCCCCGAGATTCAATTGGATTGACCTCCATCTGGATCCTTTAAAGGTTTTTTGGGAGCAGAAGTATCGGGTTTTTCATAAGGTAAGCAACTAGCTTTTTAGCTTTCACGTCTTGAACAAGATGAGATATGCACTTATTACAAAAAAGAGTTGGCTTTAGGGATGATGGTTAAGAGGTATTGAGTCTGGTTAAGGCACGGTAGCTCTGTGCTTTTTGCTCCATAGCGCCGAAAGGTAAGCAATGCCATCAAATGACTGAGAAAGCGGTCGGAGACATTCCGAGCTGCTATTTGCTGCATTCGGAAGCAGGACATAAAAGTCGCTGTATGAAGAGAATTTTGGTCCCTTGAGATGAACAAAACTAGAATGCATACACCAGCGTGCAGACATAAAATCGTCTGTTGGCGCCAGCGGAATCTATCTATGTTCAGTTCCACCAATTCCCGTAGTTTCGCTTTTCTCGTGCATCTCTGTCAATCATTTCCGGCACCATAGATTCTGCTTCTGGGCAGGTGTCCAAGTTATCTGGGAAAATTTCACATAACGGCCTAAAGTGCCCTCATTTTCTCAAATAAGGGCCTAAAGTGGATTTTGTGTCAAATAAGGATCTGAAGTTGCATGTTAGTCTCAAATAAGGACATGAAGTGACTATATCTATTTCGAAGAAGGCCTAACTTTTCTTATGGTGAGGGTATTTTCGTCTTTTAACTTTTTTTTGAATTTTTTCTTTTTTTTCTTTCTTTTGTACTTTTTTCTGGTTTTCCCTTCTTCCCCGATTGGCCGGCCGGCCACTGGCGAAGCTCGGCAAGGGTTGCCCTCGCCCGATTTGGCAAGGGCCGCCCTCGCCAACCATGAGCGAGATCGACCCTCACTAGATTAGGGCGAGGGTCGCCTCGCTAGTTGCCGGCGAGAGAGGCGAGGCCCCCCTCACCTAGATTTGGCGAGGCCGCCCTTGCCTGTTGTCGGTGAGGGCGACCCCCGCCCCACCATACCGGGCTTCACCGGTGGCCGGCCGGCCATCGGCAGGCCAACAGGGGAAACCAGAAAGAAGGAAAAAAGAAAAAAAAATTGATTTAATTAATTTAAATTTTAAAAAAAAAATTTGGACAAAAATGCCATTGACCTCGCTGGTCTCCTGTTGGAATATTTCGCTGGCCGGTGACTAGCGAGGCCAGGTCCTTATTTGAAACTCTCATAGCCACTTCAGGTTCTTATTTGAGACTGACATGCCACTTCATGTCCTTATTTGAGACTGACATGCCACTTCATGTCCTTATTTGACACAAAGTCCATTTCAAGTCCTTATTTGAAAAAATGAAGGTACTTTGAGCCCTTATTTGGAATTCTCCCAAGTTATCTTGCAGGCAGGTCGCGTTTCTTGTTTCTTGGAGGAGCCCCGCTAAACTACTCGGATGCAGCAATCCCATTTGAAAGTAATAGTTTTGCAACACGTTTGAGCTCGTACGTTCTTCATAATCCGTGTTCTGGTCATGTCTAGAAATTGTGTAAGCAGGAGAATTTGTTGGAGGGAAAATTCCAATTAAAGATCCCAAGTGCGGTCTTTTTCTCAAAAGAGGACCCCAAGTAGACATAGTGTCAAATAAGGGCATGAAGTGCCCATTCTATCGTAAATAAGGGGCCGAAGTACCCAATTAGTCTCAAGTAAGGGCTTGGGTTCTCCGGTCGGTCAAATGCTAGCCGGCCGGCGAGCACGGTTACTTTTCGGCGATCGAAAAAGAGCAGTTTCGTCTTTTTCTTTTTCTTTTTTTTTTGCTTTTTTCTGTTTTTTTTTTCCTTTTCCTTTTCCTTTTCTGTTTTTTTTCTTCTCTTCCCCTATGGCCGGCGGAGGCCGCCCTCGCCAGCGTCGGGCGAGGGCCGCCCTCGCCTGACGTCGGATCTGGCGAGGGTCGCCCTCGCCTTCTCCGGCAAGGGCGGCCCTCGCCCGACGCTGGCGAGGGAGGCCTCCGCCAGCCCCGGCTATGGCCGGCGACCTCCGCCAGCCATAGGGGAAGAGAAGAAAAAAAAACAGAAAAGGAAAAGGAAAAGGAAAAGGAAAAAAAAAACAGAAAAAAGCAACAAAAAAAGAAGACGAAACTGCCCTTTTTCGGTCACTGAAATAGTAACCGTGCTCGCCGGCCGGCTAGCATTTGACCGGCCGGCAAACCCAAGCCCTTACTTGAGACTAATTAGGCACTTTGGGCTCTTATTTGAAACTGATTAGGTACTTCATGTCCTTATTTGACACTATATTTACTTGGATTCCTCTTTGAGAAAAAGACCCCACTTGAAGTTCTTAATTGGAATTTTCCCTTTGTTGGATGGGTGTTTTTCTCCCCCTCCGGCTTCATTATGGACTACGATCCTTATGTCAGCCATGACTGGGCCTAAACTTGAAATTTGTTCTCCGCAGAAAAAGGGAAAATGGGAGGCTGGGAACATGACAGGTCCTTAATTATACTTTTCCGCCACTTACTCTCCTCTTGCCAATCTGTTATCCATCAAACTATACTACATTTGAATAAATTTCTATTTAATAGGATTATAAATGATGCGATCCCACCTCAAGCTCAAGGGCGAATTTCAGATAGTCCCATTGAATTCGAGCAATCAAAGTGCGAAAGGCTCCGTGCAGAGCACGGTTTTCCTTAATAGGGCCCGGCACATCACGAAAAGAAGAAAGGGAGTTTCAAGAGAAATATAGTCAAAGAGGAAACACACAGAGCAATGGCACAACAGATAGTATAGACAGATGCTGTTGTCTTTCTAACAAACCCAACTCGGTAACACGATCTTACAAACGAAAGGGGCTCTAGGAGGAGGCGATAAAAGATCCAACCAGAGCTCCCCAGTTCAGTTCACACCCCCCCAAAGATACAAAGAAGGCACCTCCTAAATCAAAGCACTCTCCTGTTTTGACTCTGACCAGACACGACAACCCCAATGACCAAACCACTCAAAAGGAAAAAATTAAAAAACACACCTTTAGGTGGTGGCTCTCAAGAGGGGATCCCCAAAAAAACAAACCCCACGATTGGAGAGCCTACCTAATGAATAGCATCTTCCTTTCTCACCAAATCGCAACACCCCCCCACTTCAAATCAAATCGTAAAACCTCGCGGCTAAAATACACCTATCCCTATCTTTTATGTTCATGTAACTCTCTTGTACACTCTCTACATATTCAAACTCGATTCGACTCAATTCAAATCTGTTCCTGTGCGTGTGTGGTATGGCAGCGACAGCAAAGTCCCATCATCGTGTTCTTTTCCTAAGGAAAAAGAAAAAGCCCGAAAAAAAATTGGGAGGGAAAGGTGAGATTTTTGCTTCACTTGCAATGGGGCGTTTCAAGTGGGTGGTGGTGGGGTGGACCCGCCGACACTTTGCTTCTCTCGGATCGAATTCATCTTCTCAAGCCTCCAACCATCCTTGAACCTCGCTATGAAGGTGTCGGCCTTGACGTTCACGTCTGGGCTCGGACAGAACATCCCGGGCCCACCAGGCGCCCCCCGCACCACCACGCCGCTCCGATCTCGGCTGTCAGCCGCCGCCGAGCCAGGCGACGACGGGACGTCCGCGTCCTCCAGCTCCGGCAGCTCCGGTGAGCTGCACGGGGAGCTGCGGGCGCTGCGTAGCCCGACGAAGTCCCCGCCGGCCGAGAACCTGAACTCCGGCACCCGGGGCGGCGGCGGCATCGGTATCGGCGGTGACCGTGCGCCGCTGCCGGGCTGATGGACGACCGGCTTCGCGGGTAACGGGGGCTTCGGGGCCGCCGCTGGGGGACTCCTCCGCCGAGGCTCCGGTCGCGGCGGGGGCGGCGGGGGCGCGGGTACCGAGTGGATTCTCTTGCTTTTGCTGCTCTTTCGGAACAGGCTGTGGAAGACGGACGCCGGAGGAGGAGGCGGCAGAGGCGGCGGTGGTGGAGGCGTTTGAACGGCGGAATGGGAGGTCGTCTCGGGCGCCAGTTGGTGAGCGGCGTCGTCACGTAGCGTTCTGGTCCTCTGCTTCTTCTTTCTCTTTCTCTGGTTGTACAGCACCGAAGCCAAAACCGTCTTTATCTCCTTCGCCGCGCTGCTCTTCCTCCGCTCGATCTTCGCGTACCTGTACTCCGTCGGCGGCGTGGGCGGTGGCCGCGGGGGAGGCGGAGGCGGCGGCGCTGGCGGTGCCCTTCCGATTTTAGCAAATTCAGCTCCATCGCTCGCCCTACCCCCCGTGCTTCTGGGAGCGACGCCCTCGTAGGTGCGCCTCACCGGCGGAGGAGGCGGTGGCGGCGGAGGCGGTGGAGCTGGAGATTTCGCCGCTGGTGGAGGCGGAGGAGACGCCGGAGACGGAGGCGTGCGGAGAACGAACGTGTCCACCGGAATCACTTTGATATCATCCT